CTCAGAAAATTGCAAATTTTGAACATAAGAACTGTGGGAAGTAGGCAATGATGTTAAAATATCTCTTGAAACTTGAAGAAATTGTGGAAGGTTTAGAGATAGAAAACAACATTTCAGAAGATGATGTTTGAAATAATGGTAAAATATCTTTAGCAATTGTCACTGAATAAATATTTTCATTAGACAAATCACATTTAGATATAGAAGAATATGGTATGTCTTCAGATTTTCTTATCAGCGAAGATCCTGGGTGATTCTCTTTGTTACCATCGGTCAAACGACAAGCCAATTCTGGAAAATTCATTGGGTTCTTTGCCTGGGCAGCTAAATATATTTAAATTAAGTTCATGCAAGGCTTTAGAAACATCAATTGGATAAAACTCTATAATTTCATTAACTTTTTATTAATATCAGCTCCAAAGGAATAATATAAACAAGTTACACATCATCAATAAATCAAATTTGCAGATATTTCCATTTCACCAAACTTTCTCTAAGTCATAATATATATTTTAAATTCATGGCATTTTGTTAGGCTAGATATGTTGACTTTTATTTACCACAATAATCTGATTATATAAATTAGGATTACCCAGCTTTCATACATTCTTCTTTTTACTGCCCTCCTTTATGAGGGGGAGGTAAAAATCATCATAAAATGTGTGATGCAATTTACAGATGAACCCTCTCTCTCTCTACCCCTCCCCCTATATATATATATATATATATATATATGTATATCTACATAATCTCTAAAATCATGTTGGTACCTCTACCTGTTTGAATGTTAGGCCCATTTCCTTAAACTGTTTCTGTGTGGATCTTCTCCATGGGGGTCATCTATAAATGACGTAACGCATCTTTTTGACGATTTTTACCTCGCCCCCTCCCCCTACACATCGTCACAAAAAGCCAGACCCCCACCCCCTAAAATGACGTCACACAGTACTAGATTCTAGATCTAAATTACTACAGTTGCCTACACTCTAGATTTAGTTCTTAAGTTCTACAACAAGACTACACTAAACTTCGCTAGATCTAGAATAATCTAGATTCTATATATAAATTGATATTGAACATATTCTAGTCTACCTGTCTTAAAGTAAATAAATAGCCTATTTATTAGGCCTAATTTTAGTAATTTAGTAATTAATTCCAGTCAACTACACTGTAAAATAAAAGAAACTAGATCTAGAATCTAGATCTCTAGACTACTCTTGAGTCTATAAATTAAAAATAAATCCTGTATGTCGTATGTTACTGTCTAAGTCGGAATTTTCAAGAGGGTTTATTTTAAAGTCATAGATCTAGATATAGAATTCTAGATCTAGAAATCTAGACTCTAGATCTAGGCTATATATATTTATTAATTAAATTAGGCTTGATTTCAGATTTACGATTGAAATCTTTTAGGCCTATAAATATCATATTTTATATAGATTATAGATGTATTATTATTATACAGGTTGTATTCTAGATCTATATAAAATATAATATATTTGTGTGTGTGTGTGTGTTATTTTAAACTTAATTTACTTAAAACAACTTATTGTCGGAGTTTTTTTTATTCCAAAAACGAAAGTAGATTTCATAACTTAAAAAAAAATAAATAAAAAATATTCACATTTGGTTTGAAAAAACAAAAAAACGCCAGCTGGCAACTACCGGAGCGAGAACTTGGTAAGCTACTTTAACAACTTACAAGCCCAATAGCTTGCCTATTTGCCAGAGAATTTAGGTTTATGTGTGTATAGCTTGCCTATTTGCCACAGAAGTTAGATCTATGTGTGGATACATTGCCTATTTGCCACAGAAGTTAGATCTATGTGTGGATACATTGCCTATTTGCCCAGAACTTAGGGCTATATGTGGATACATTGCCTATTTGCCCAGAACTTAGGGCTATATGTGGATACATTGCCTATTTGCCCAGAACTTAGGGCTATATGTGGATACATTGCCTATTTGCCCAGAACTTAGGGCTATATGTGGATACATTGCCTATTTGCCCAGAAGTTAGGACAATGTATGTATACATTGCCTATTTGCCCAGAAGTTAAGGTTAACTCGGCTGGAATGGCTGAGTGTAACTTGCCAAATTTCTTCTGATCTAGAGATGACTTTCTTCACGTAAAACTTTGAACGACATTTTCTTGAGACTCTCAGGTTATTGACACCAAACCCTCCCATCCAGCACCCCCTCCCCCCCCCCCCCCCCACAGAGTGTAGAAAAGAAGACATTGACCTAGGTACCAGCAAATCTTAAACTGATTGTCTCAAACCAACTTCCGTTTGACCTAATTTATATCGGATCGCTTTATTTGCATTCGTACTCAGGCCAGTAGACCAATGGTCGCCTAGATTAGACATGATGTACCCGACAATCTATTCAATGGTCAGTAGACCAATGGTCGCGTAAATTAGACACAATGTACCCGACAATATACTCAATGGTCAGTAGACCAATGGTCGCGTAAATTAGACCCAATGTACCCGACAATATACTCAATGGTCAGTAGACCAATGGTCGCCTAAATTAGGACAATCTATTCAATAGTCATTTACACCACCACTACACCTCGATTACAGTAAAGCTTCTGGTCAATAACAATCTATCCAATGGTCAATACAATATGCCAAATGGTCGATCACAAAAAACTTCCAATAGTCACTGCAAAACATCGACGGTCGATTGTACGGGGCGGTATATTGGGGTGAGCAATGAAAAAGTGACCCACGTGACCTGTAGATGAGCAGCCAGTGTTCCAGCCTCACGCCCTCATCAGCCCAAAGCTCTGGAATTGACCACGTGACTAGCAGAAGATTGGACTGAGCTCTACACAGTCATGGGCCCTGGTCACAGTCTCAGTCAGAAGTGACGAGTCAACTTCCTGTCAGCGAGGTTTCGTGAATGAAAATGTCAGTACCCAAATGTCACCCTCACTTCACTCTCACTCCACTCTCACTTCACCTAGTGACTTTTGATGAATGAGCTTCTAAACGAGTGGCGAGAAAATAGAGCAATACAACTGAGCCACACTCCAAATGTAAGACGCATTCTTGTTTGTGTTAATTCTATTGAAGCCGTTCCGGCCAGGCCTTGCCCTGGAAATCAATATTTAGGTTTGAACTCCCCCCCCCCCCCCCAAATACATCATTGGAGTATATTACTTAGACCAGCTATGTCCAACTTAGACCAGTTATGACCAACTTAGACCAGCCATGGCCAACTTAGACCAACTAAGAGTTTAGACTATGACCAACTTAGACCAATTTAGACCAGCTATAACCAGCTACACGAGACAGACTGCCGTAGAAAATGAAGGGACTTGTGATAGAATGAGGTCATTCACCTCTTTACCATCTTTATGTCTGATTTGAACTCAGCTAAATTTAATCCTCATTGTCGCGATACTTATAAGATGCAAGTTCTTGTAAATTTTCAAAGCGTAGCCCCACACAAAATACGTACCTAGGGAACTGTATAAATATAAACCAAGGAATCCATTATTCTGTAAGGGATATTAATAGCTCTACTGAGTGTGTGTGTGTGGGGCCTGGTGGGTGGGGTGTGTGTGTGTGTGGGGGGGGGGGGGTTAATCAGAAAGTCAGTAATAACTTAAGTACCTAAGCTGGAGATTTAACTATCCCCTCCCCCTGACTCACCAAGAAATAAAAGAAACTCTTGGTGGCATTAAACGTGTGTGCTCAACTCTACTGCACCTCTCTGCCGTATGGTTTAATCTTGTTGGTATTAAACGTGTGTACTCTGTGTACTATGGTTTAAGACAAAGATCTTAAAGAAACAAAGATTTTATTTTAAATCAGAGACCAACCTTAGTGGTCTAGACATAGATCGTAGACCGATATCTTAGAGATCTACTACTTTCTTATTACTTACCTAGCTGAAAAAAAAATCATTGTTAGCATCGAAAGCTGCTCAAAATTCCTACAGGGGCCATGGATTATGTGAGCTGGATGGCCACTATTATTGGGGCCACTGGGGGCCTACATCAACAACAATGAGATGAAAGTAGATCCGGCTAACAGGCGGAGTAATCTCGAGGGGTTACTTACCGGATTGGTGTTTTATGATTAGAGTCTACAGACAAAGTAGCGCAGTATGAAGACTGGGATGATGAGACTGGGACTCATTCTTCGAGTCCAGTCAGGGAAAGTCTTGACCGTCTTACCGAGGAGCGGAGCCCATACAATAGTTTAATCACGTGATGTATTCAATGGTGGAATTACTTATGTATTATGTGAGAGGGGAGGTAGGAAGGAGAGCGTATGTGAGATAGAGTAAGCGGTTTTTATTCGTGTCTATTTTTTTTACAAGTTGAGCTTTAACCAAGATGGGTTTAGTTCTTGTTTGTTGGATGACTGAATTTTTTTTTCCTCGACTGGGTTTGAAATGGTAAGCCCAGCAACAATAAAATAGTAGAAATAAACTGAGTAAACATATCTGGACAGAAATTAGTTGCTTGATGTAGCCATCATAGCGACCCCAGACTCGACTAAATTCGTGATTTTTAAATGTATTTAAACATCAAACAGCAACCTCTTATTCTCGATTATGTTTAGATCTTGTCTCTGCACATTTGCGTGTTATTCAGAGCATATGAAGTGAAAATTTTTATTTAATAATTACAACAAAGAAGGCTGGAAATTATTAATTATATAACACATACAGGTTTTGAACCCACCGTAATCTCTCCATCTCTCTCAACCTATCTTCGTCTCTCTGCCTCTCTCACTCTCTCTCTCTCTCACAAAGACAAAGGTTCTCAACCTACCATCGTCTCTGTCTGTCTGTTTGTCTGTCTGTCTGTCTGTCTCTCTCATACTTACAAAGGTTCTCAACCTACCATCTGGTCTCTCTCTCTCCCACACAAACAAAGGTTCTCAACCTACCATCTGATCTCTCTCTCTCATACAAACAAAGGTTCTCAACCTACCATTGGCTCTCTCTCTCATACAAACAAAAGTTCTCAACCTACCATTGGCTCCCCCTCGTCCACACGTTTCCTGACGCTGGTCGCCCGCTCCCTGAGCCGCTTGGCTTTCCGCTTGGCCCTGGCGCCCCAGTAGGTGTAGTTGACTGCGGCGTACTCCAGCAGGGCGGCGAAGACGAAGACGAAGCACATGACCAGGTAGATGTCGATGGCCTTGACATACGAGATGCGGGGCAGTGAGGACCGGACGCCGTTGCTGATGGTGGTCATGGTTAGAACTGTGGTGATGCCTGTGGACGAGATTGGTCGAATCACTCGGCAGTTGAGTTTATGGTTTTATCGAAAAGGGGAGGGGGCTTGTAGAATACATTTTTAACGTCCTTCAAATATAGTTAAATGTCATACAATTTGTGAAATTTGGGTTGTATTTGTTAAAATTAGAGGATATAAGGTAATCAATAGAAATTCTTGTTATATTTTTCTTGGTTCTTAAAACTCGTGAAAAAAGCAAATTCCTGCCCACTGTTACTAACCCTCTTGACTTATACCATAGTGTCGGCACCTGGGCGGCCACCCCTAGCTAGCCCCCGACGTACCTAGAGCTACCCTGTGGGGCGGCCACCCCCTAGTTAACCCCTGACCTACCTAGCTAAGCCCTGACCTACCTAGTTAACCCCTGACCTACCTGGCTAACCCTGACCTAATTAGCTAACCCTGACCTACCTAGCAAACCGCTGACCTACCTAGCTAACCTCTGACCTAATTAGCTAACCCTGACCTACCTAGCTAACCCCTGACCTACCTAGCTAACCCCTGACCTACCTAGCTAACCCCTGACCTACCTAACTACCCCTGACCTACCTAGAGCTACCCGGGCCGACGTGGCCTCGTGGTTGATCCAGAACGAGACCCAGGAGAGCATGACGATAAGGATGGACGGCAGGTAGGTCTGGAAGATGAAGTAGCCGATGTTTCTCTGGAGTTGAAAGATCAGGGACAGCCGCTGGTAGTCGCCTGTTGATAGATTAAAACATTAGATGTATGATGGTAGTCGCCTGTTGATAGAGTAAAACATTAGATGTATATGATGGTAGGTAACTGTTGATAGAGTAGAACATTAGTTGCATGATGATAGTCTGTTGACAGAGTAGAACATTAGTTATATGATGGCAGGTAACTGTTGATAGAGTAGAACATTAGTTGTATGATGGTAGGTAACTGTTGATAGAGTAGAACAAAAGTTGTACGATGGTAGTTAACTGTTGATAGAGTAGAACATTAGACGTATGATGGTAGTCGTATGTTGATACAAAAAAACTTTGGGTTACTATCATGAACTAAGTTAAGGGAAGCAACCCATATGATATCTACATTGCATTCCACGGCTCGTCACAAATTATCGGTCAATATTATGATTATTACCTCATTTATAAATATTCATCAATTAATCCACCTGTCAACGTCCGCCTCTACCTCATTGGTCCAGATTCCGCGATATATTACATGTCAAGATTCACACACTACCTTACACCCCCGGTACCTCACACACCACTACCTCACCCCCCAGGACCTCACCTGTCAACATCTCATCCCAGTACCTCACCTGTCAAGAGCTCCTCCCAGCACCTCACCTGTCAACATCTCCCCCCCCCCCAGTACCTCACCTGTCAACATCTCATCCCAGTACCTCACCTGTCAAGAGCTCCTCCCAGCACCTCACCTGTCAACATCTCCCCCCCCCCAGTACCTCACCTGTCAACATCTCATCCCAGTACCTCACCTGTCAAGAGCTCCTCCCAGCACCTCACCTGTCAACATCTCCCCCCCCCCCCCCCAGTACCTCACCTGTCAACATCTCCCCCCCAGTACCTCACCTGTCAAGAGCTCCTCAATCTTGTTGATGGTGTCGTAGTTTGTGATAGAGAACTGGGGCAGCGAGACGTTCTCCACCTCACTACCTCACCCCCAGTACCTCACCCCCCACTACCTCACACCCCCAGTACCTCACCCCCAGTACTTCACCCCCCCAGTACCTCACCTCCCCAGTACCTCACCCCCCAGTACCTCACCTGTCAACATCTCCCCCCAGTACCTCACCCCCAGTACCTCACCTGTCAACATCTCCCCCCCAGTACCTCACCCCCCCAGTACCTCACCCCCAGTACCTCACCTGTCAACATCTCCCCCCAGTACCTCACCCCCCACTACCTCACACCCCCAGTACCTCACCCCCCAGTACCTCACCTCCCCAGTACCTCACCTGTCAACATCTCCCCCCCAGTACCTCACCCCCCCACTACCTCACACCCCCAGTACCTCACCCCCCAGTACCTCACCTCCCCAGTACCTCACCCCCAGTACCTCACCTGTCAAGAGCTCCTCAATCTTGTTGATGGTGTCGTAGTTTGTGATAGAGAACTGGGGCAGCGAGACGTTCTCCACCTCACTACCTCACCCCCAGTACCTCACTCCCCAGTACCTCACCCCCCAGTACCTCACCCCCCATTACCTCACCCCCCACTACCTCACACCCCCAGTACCTCACCCCCCAGTACCTCACCCCCCAGTACCTCACCTGTCAAGAGCTCCTCAATCTTGTTGATGGTGTCGTAGTTTGTGATAGAGAACTGGGGCAGCGAGACGTTCTCCACGCCCGTCACGGCGCCACGGTCGTTCCTCCAGTACAGGACGATGTCGTCCATGGTGTAGCCGTCTGGGGGAGACAAGGCGGGGTCAGAGGGTCAAGGCGGGGTCAACATGGGTCAACGGAGGTGGGTCAGACAAGGCAGGGTCAGGGGGAGACCAGGCGGGGTCAGGGGGGGTCAAGGCTAGGTCAACATTGGGCGGAGGTGGGTCAGACAAGGCTGTCAGAGGGAGACATGGCGGGGTCAGGGGCGGGGGGGTCAAGGCAGGGTCAACATGGGTAAACGAAGGTGGGTCAGACAAGGCTGGGTTATCATGGATCGGGGGTGGGTCAGACAAGACTCGAGGGAAAAGGCTACAATGTCCTGCATAGACAAAAGTCTTAGGACGTTGTTACAATTTACATATTAAGTCTGTCACATACAACACATCAAGATTGACAAAGACAACACAACAAGTATCTTTGTGATGACACAGTATGTCCACTAGGTCAAGATTTAAAAAGTCCACCTCAAATGGTTTGTCCACTAAGTCAAACTCTACTTATGACGTCTTACCTAAAACAACAGTTCTAAGATTGTCTTATCTAACAAACCGATGGATTGAACTTTTTATTTCAGTTTTTTTTAGATTAGAAACACATCTCGTTATACAGCGGCTCTCAAACTTTGAATCTTTGAAAGGGCCGTACAACATCTTAACCCAACAAATCTTCTTCAGCGTTCTTAGGCCATTGACTCCGATTTCAGCCAGCTTTACTTTATGGATTGGCTTCCATAGCCTTTGTCCAACCAAGAACAAACTACAAGGCAGCAGTTGTTTGATTTTGGATTTTTCTCTCCTAGAGGAGTGGCTGTCCAACATCTTTACCCAACAATTGGCCTTCCACAACATTTTGAAGATTTTATACCCACGTGTGCATTACCCGAATTTCTATTTGGAAACGATTTGACTATAAAGGGTACCCCCCCCCATCCCCCCGACACACGAAAACAATTTATATGCTAGATAATTCCACCAGTCTCCCCTCCAGGGAAAGTTTAAAGTGCCCCCTCCCCTACCCGAAGAAAGAAACACCGTGTAGTTGGTATTAGTAATCTTTATATTTGTGAGACCCCCTGACACAGCTGATATAAAAAACCAGCTGGTGTTTTAGATTTGGTCACTTGGACACAGATCTCAGATAGACAAGATGTACAGGGCTGTTTGTCTGGCTTTAGCGTGTGTACTAGCGGTGTCTGATGTAAGTTTGTCTGACTGCTAGCGGTGTCTGATGTAAGTTTGTCTGACTTTATGTGCTAGCGGTGTCTGATGTAAGTTTGTCTGACTTGATGTGCTAAGGTGTCTGATGTAAGTTTGTTTGACTTGATGTGCTAAGGTGTCTGATGTAAGTTTGTCTGACTTGATGTGCTAAGGTGTCTGATGTAAGTTTGTCTGACTTTATGTGCTAGCGGTGTCTGATGTAAGTTTGTCTGACCTTATGTGCTAAGGTGTCTGATGTAAGTTTGTCTGACTTTATGTGCTAAGGTGTCTGATGTAATAGTTTAGTTTCTAAAATTATTTTTGTTGATCAAATATAGGCAACTTTTCTAACTGATACGACTTACAACTTGTGTAACTTTTAACTTAAGTGTATAGATAAAGTGGTAAACCGAAATAAAAAACCACTGTCCACCTCTAGGCCCTGGTGGGAAAAGTCTGTACCGTAGAGTCGGAGTGTGACGCCGGAGAATGTTGTCAGATCCTCAGTCAGTTCATGGTCATGAGCAGACGTCAGGTGGACGTCTTACCTTTGGCTACGTCACAGAGAAACGGTGAGTACACTCTAGGCTAGAGGGTGGGGGATACAACCAAACCAGATTCTTATTCAAGAATGGCAGATTATACTCTCGGTTCTATGTCCGGCTTATGGGAGCTCGTTTACTCTACTTCCCCTGTTACATGAGCCCAGAGTTTGGGTCGTTTTACATGTATGATACATGGGTAGTGTTTTATTAAACCTTATGGTTTATCACAAGCCTTAATGCCTACATGCACTTGCACATTACTCATGAACAAACAAGCGTTTCAACAAATGCAAAGTGCTCTTGTATACAAGCACCTGGTACCTGACCTAGAGCTTTTGTACGATCAGGTACATGACCTTGACACTTTGTACAACCACCAAATATATGACCTTGACATTCTGTCTACCCCCCAGGCACCTGCCAGAAGTACCAGCTGGAGGGCTCCGGCTGTAGCGGCTTCGACAAGATGAACGGCTACTGCAGCTGTGAGCCGGGCACCTACTGCCATACATACGAGATACCCCTGGCCACCGTTCCTCCCACACTTGTCAACAAACGATCGATGGCAATGCCTAGACCAGGATACACCTGGATCTCCAGGTGTGAGAGGCAGACGGCTTAAGTTAGCACCAGGCCAACAGACGGCCTAAGTTCGCACCATGCTAACAGACAGCTCAAGTTCGCACCAAGCTAACAGACAGCCGACGTTTGTATAGAGTTATGTCAGATGCAGATATTAAAGTTTTGAAACATAAGTCCTTTTGTTGTTGTTATAATGTCCGAGAATGTCTTGTGATTGTCAAACCCAAACCAAGTTGCGAGACTTTATTTAGTGAGTGTTACCCGAGATATTTTTGGTGACACAGAAAGTGCCCCGATGTTCTGTTAGTGACCTTGATATTGATGGCAAGAAAGATTACATCATGTGACCCTAATTATGACAGTGGTGACCACAGATTATGCTGTTGTCTTTAATGGCCACATTCATTGTGAAATGAACAGCAGTAACCTAAATTATGTTGATCCGAAGATTTCGGCAAGTAACGAGAATCATTATGTTAACGTGAGTGGGATAGTGGAATGAAGAGTGGAGTTGGGGTAATGTGGGACGAGGAGTATATTTTGTGTAGTTTGGGATTGGTAGTATAATGTGTGGTAGTTAGGGCTGCAGAATGTGGCACACGCGAACATAAAGTGGACATTAGCAATACGGGTCTATGGGTCACTAAGACCCATCCGTCTAAACACCGCATAAAAGCACAATGCAAATTGTGTCAGCGTTGTAATGTTTTTAAAAAGCGGAAGTGATCTCCCCTAAACTTTGTAATATATGCTTATATAAAAGTGAGAGGGGTGACACTTAAAGTGAGATCGTGCAAAAGAAATGCTGTTTTTTTTTAAATACTTAGCATTTTAAAATAGAAGAGAAATGCATAGAAAAAAGAATTGCCCACCAAGTGAATGAAAACAAATAGTGTATAATATAACGGAGAATCAGTACTTTATAAAGGAAACATTGATTACTTTTCTTTTTGAGAAATCGGAAATGACCTAAAGTACTACCTTCGACCACCGGAAATCGCTTAAAATTTGACAGTATCAAGAGAATAAGATACCTATGTATAACATCCGTTCTACCTACATGAAACGGTACTTAAATAATCGATAATTTAGAAATCAGAAATAAAGTACCACTTCCGGTTATCGGAGGTCAAATAAAAACTGGAAGTTGTCAAAGTATAAGATCTATCTATGAAATTTTTTCGTCTCCCTAACTGAAGCAATAATCAAATTTAAGTGTTCACACAAAATTCAGTAAACTAACACTTCTGGTTACCAAAAATCATTCAAAAGTTGGTAGATGTAGGCTCATACAATCCTGTATTTATATGTGAAATTTCTGCCACCTAACTTGAACGGTACTCAAACTATAGGCAATTGAAAAACCGGACCTAAACTAAGTACCATTTCCGTATGCCGGGAATCCATCAAAATACTTTTCTATGAACTTTTATCAACATAAGTGAAAACGTACTCAGGTATCATGCTTACAAACAGACACATCAACTGACCGACACACAAACATAGGGACAAAATTGAAAAACTAAGTTTTTTCCGACTCTTATGTACAAATAAATCAGCTGCGAGTAAAGTTCTTTCTTCAACTTAGAAAACCACACACACACACACTGAAGCAAACACATACAGATGCACAACGTAATATGTTCTTATCTACATTGTCTCGGCTATATTTAAACCCAACCACTAGAAGTAAAAACTGCAGGACGAAGAACATCTAGATCTGTTCACTTCTGCCAGTCAACGTTTGGCGATGTTGGCTTTTCTGATCCTGGCTAGTTTTTTGGCGTCTGCTTATGTGAGTACTTTCTGCTTGTGTGAGTACTTTCTGCTAGTGTGAGTACTTTCTGCTAGTGTGAATACTTTCTGCTTGTGTGAGTACTTTCTGCTTGTGTGAGTACTTTCTGCTAGTGTGAGTACTTTCTGCATTCAATCTAATATTGAGTGAGCATGTTTTGAAAAAAATGTTACCATTAGCTACCAGAAAGATGTCAATAAAACAAGTTAGCTGCTAGAAAATTCGTGTCATTGCGACATGCACCGCGTGTTGAGTTCTAGAACGTTCCTGTTGGCTTGGTGAAGCTTTAGACCTTGAGAACCAGGGTTGACTCTCTAACGTAACTCACCCTCACATTTTTCTTTCCCAGGGCAAGATCGGGGACGATTGTCTCGTGACTTCGGAATGTGACCCAGGGGAATGTTGCCAGATACTCCAGAAGTACACGTTCGGTTTTGTACACAGCACCGTGACGCTATCGAATCCCTTCAACAACAGTAAGGGTTGAGTAGCTAGCCCCGACTACTGATCACTGCCTCTGGTCAGATAGGTTTTACGTTAGCCAATCGCATCCTATCAGCCTGATCCCCTTCGAAAAGATTCGATGACCATAGTCTACAGCAAATTAACCGACAGTTTGTGGGGATGTATCTTGCCTTCCCAAAACGTTGGAGTTGTCTTGGTTAATAGAAAAAATCCACGAAAGACTCTGAAGTGCTTCTTTTAGATTTTTCTCTGGGAGCACCCCCCCCTCACCCCCTCACCGACCCCGCACCACGTGAACCAATCTATACCCTCCCCGAAATAGTAGTAGTAGAAAATTTAGAAAGTTATGAAATAGTTTAAACATTCTTAGAATGCCGCACCCAATCCACCTCAATTGTACACAAATCCTGAAACCTGCTTTCATGTCATCAAGCATACTTCAAATAATAAATTTCGTGTCTATGATAACATATACCATACAGCTGTAGCATTTTGAATCAGAAAAACCAACAATTTTCCAGAGACCTGCCAGAGATACGACCTTATGGGTGAGGACTGCGACCCTTTTGATAAGATGAGCGGTTTGTGTGGATGTGAGCCTGGCTCGATGTGTAGCGGTCAGGACGTGCTGACCTCCAGTCTCCATGGACGGGCAACGCTACCACCGACCCCCGCCCCGGGGTACACCAGGATATATACATGCGTCGTGGACGAGGCTGCGGCTCACACCGGGTGAAGGAACTCGCCAAAATATTTTTTTCAATAAATTCAGACTGTTATCAAACTTTGTGTTATTTCATGATTTTATTGTAACGCCCGTCAAAAGGGACAGAGACAAAAGGGCCCCCAATATAAATTGATATACGATTAAATGATTCCTAAGTAGGAGGACACACAACGACAGAAACCGGCTCATACAATCCTGTATTTATACGTGAAATTTCTTCCACCTAACTTGAACGGTACTCAAGCTGTAGGCAATTAAAAAACCGGACCTAAAGTAAGTACCATTTCCGTTTACCGGAAATCCATCAAAAGTTGTTACATAACTACAAATGCGACATAATACTTTTATATGAACTTTTATCAACATAAGTGAAAACGTACTCAGGTATCATGCTCACAGACAGACACATAAACTGACGGACACACAAACATAGGGACAAAATTGAAAAACTAAGATTTTTCCGACTCTTATGTAGAAATAAATCAGCTGCAAGTAAAATTCTTTCTTCAGCTTAGAAAACCACACACACTCTGAAGCAAACACATACAGACGCACAACGTATTGTTCTTATCTACATTGTCTCGGCTATATTTAGACCCAACCACTAGAAGTAAAAACTGCAGGACGAAGAACACCTAGATCTGTTCACTTCTGCTAGTCATCGTTTGGCTATGTTGGCTCTTCTGGTCCTGGCTAGTATTTTGGCGTCTGCTTGTGTGAGTACTTTCTGCTTGTGTGAGTACTTTCTGCTTGTGTGAGTACTTTCTGCTTGTGTGAGTACTTTCTGCTTTTGTGAGTACTTTCTGCTTGTGTGAGTACTTTCTGCTTGTGTGAGTACTTTCTGCTTGTGTGAGTACTTTCTGCTTGTGTGAGTACTTTCTGCTTGTGTGAGTACTTTCTGCTTGTGTGAGTACTTTCTGCTTGTGTGAGTACTTTCTGCTTTTGTGAGTACTTTCTGCTTGTGTGAGTACTTTCTGCTTGTGTGAGTACTTTCTGCTTGTGTGAGTACTTTCTGCTTGTGTGAGTACTTTCTGCTTGTGTGAGTACTTTCTGTTTGTGTGAGTACTTTCTGCTAGTGTGAGTACTTTCTGCTTGTGTGAGTACTTTCTGCTTGTGTGAGTACTTTCTGCTTGTGTGAGTACTTTCTGCTTGTGTGAGTACTTTCTGCTAGTGTGAGTACTTTCTGCTAGTGTGAGTACTTTCTGCATTCAATCTTATATTGAGTGAACAGCTTTTGTAATCAACTCTACCATAAGCTACTCAAAAGATGTCAATAAAAGAAGTTGCTGCAGGGAAATTCGTGTCGTTACTACATGCGCTGTGTGTTGAGTTCTAGAACGTTCCCTGTGGTCGTGGTGATGCTTTAGCCCTTAAGAACCAGGGTTGGCTCTCTGTTTCTCTCACCCTCATATTTTCTTTCCCAGGGCAAAATCGGGGAAGACTGTCACGTGACCTCGGAATGCGACCCAGCGGAATGTTGCCAGATGCTCCGGATGTATACGTTCAATTTTGTACACAACACCATGACGCTATCAAACCCCCTCAACAACGGTAAGGGTTGAGTAACTAGCCCCCCCCCCCCCCACCCACGCTACTGGCCACTCCCACTGGGACGTGTCCTGGTTACCCCACAAATTTGGATGTGTCTTGGTTTTCCAAAAAGTTGGATGTGCCTTGGTTACCCGAAAAAGTCCACTAAAAACTCTAGTTTCTTTTAGACTTTTCTCCCTCCCTCCCCGGCCCCGACAATAGAAAATGTAGAAAGATATGAAATAGTTTAAACTTTCTTAGAAAACTCTCACCCCATCCCACGGAAGTTTGAAATGATTCACGTCCTGAAGCAGACTTAAATAAATAGATTTAAAGTCATGTCTATGATAACATGTACCTAAAATAAATAAATTTAAAGTCGTTTCTATGATAACATGTACCGTACAAAGAATGCCTGTATACTTTCGTGTCACAAAAAACCCATCAATTTTCCAGCGACCTGCCAGAGATACGACCCTGTGGGTGAGGACTGCGACCCTTTTGATAAGATGAGCGGTTTGTGTGGATGTGAGCCTGGCTCGATGTGTAGCGGCCAGGACGTGCTGACCTCCAGTCTTCATGGACGGGCAACCCTACCACCGACCCCCGCCCCGGGGTACACCAGGATATATGAGTGCGTCAAGGAGGAGGCTGCGGCTCACACCGGGTGAAGGAACTTGCCAAAGTATTTGTTCAATAAATTCAGACTGTTATCAAACTTTGTGTTATTTCATGATTTTACTGTAACGCCCGTCAAAAGGGACAGAGACAAAAGGGCCCCCAATACAAATAGATATACGATTAAATGATTCCTAAGTAAGAGGACACCCAATTCAGTATACCTATCAAGACATTTCGGTACATACATCAAATAATTGTAAATTTGTTGCTCATTTTTAGCAACTTATTGACCAACTATGTTAATTAATTATTCTAATTAAATGCTGACTATTAGGTAACCAAATATGATTCCATGAAGAATTTAATTTTATAAACTAACGCGAAACTTTGGACTTGAAATGTTTTAAACCTTTTTGGTACTAACCTAAAACATTGTATAGTTTCTAATCTTCCATATTTTATTACACGTCATCAATTAAGGTTAGTTTTTAGCTTAAAAAAACCCCACAATAATCTAACTAAACGCTGTGCAATATAGATTGGCCTGCGGGCCATAGGAAACTCTCGGAATCTTAAATCATACAGCTTTACAGCCGAGCTAAAATTTAAATATCCTACATTAAAAGGGAAGCTAATGGAAAAAGTTTTTGAGAACCCCTGACCCAGCTGATATAAAAATCCAGCTGGTGTTTTAGATTTGGTCACTTGGACACATATCTCAGATAGACAAGATGTACAGGGCTGTTTTTCTGGCTTTAGCGTGTGTGTTAGCGGTGTCTGATGTAAGTTTGTCTGGCTTTAGCGTGTGTGTTAGCGGTGTCTGATGTAAGTTAGTCTGACTTTATGTGGTAGCGGTGTCTGATGTAAGTTTGTCTGGCTTTATATGCTAGCGGTGTCTGATGTAAGTTTGTCTGACTTTATGTGCTAGCGGTGTCTGATGTAAGTTTGTCTGGCTTTATGTGCTAGCGGTGTCTGATGTAAGTTTGTCTGGCTTTATATGCTAGCGGTGTCTGATGTAAGTTTGTCTGACTTTATGTGGTAGCGGTGTCTGATGTAAGTTTGTCTGGCTTTATATGCTAGCGGTGTCTGATGTAAGTTTGTCTGACTTTATGTGGTAGCGGTGTCTGATGTAAGTTTGTCTGACTGCTAGCGGTGTCTGATGTAAGTTTGTCTGACTGCTAGCGGTGTCTGATGTAAGTTTGTCTGACTTTATGTGCTAGCGGTGTCTGATGTAAGTTAGTCTGACTTTATATACTAGCGGTGTCTGATGTAAGTTTGTTTGACTTTATGTGCTAGCGGTGTCTGATGTAAGTTAGTCTGACTTTATATACTAGCGGTGTCTGATGTAAGTTAGTCTGACTGCTAGCGGTGTCTGATGTAAGTTTGTCTGACTTTATGTGCTAGCGGTGTCTGATGTAAGTTAGTCTGACTTTATGTGCTAAGGTGTCTGATGTAAGTTAGTCTGACTTTATGTGCTAAGGTGTCTGATGTAAGTTAGTCTGACTTTATGTGCTAAGGTGTCTGATGTAAGTTTGTCTGACTTTATATACTAGCGGTGTCTGATGTAAGTTAGTCTGACTGCTAGCGGTGTCTGATGTAAGTTTGTCTGACTTTACGTGCTAGCGGTGTCTGATGTAAGTTTGTCTGGCTTTATATGCTAGCGGTGTCTGATGTAAGTTTGTCTGGCTTTATGTGCTAGCGGTGTCTGATGTAAGTTTGTCTGACTGCTAGTGGTGTCTGGTGTGAGATTTTAGTTTTTAATTTTTTGTTGTTGATGAAATTTAGGCAAAACTTTTTAAACTGATACAGCTTACAACTTGTGTAACATTTAACTAAAGTATGTATAAAAAGTGGTAAACCCAACTAAAAAGCCACTGTCCACCTCTAGGCCCTGGTGGGAAAAGTCTGTACCGTAGAGTCCGAGTGTGACGCCGGAGAATGTTGTCAGATCCTCAGTCAGTTCATGGTCATGAGCAGACGACAGGTGGACATCTTACCCTTGGCTACGTCCCAGAAAAACGGTGAGTACACTTTAGGCTAGAGGGTGGGGGGAGGGAGGTGTCAACCTGATTGGTCATTCAGTAATGACTGATCAAACAGGATATTGTGTCGATTATGTAACAAACTTATTTGAGTGGGCCCTAGCGGAAACACGTGAACTCTCCACACCTATTTAAATAGTTGTTGCATTAATTAAGTAGTTTTTTGCATATTTAAGTAGTTGTTACATTAATTAAGTAGTTTTTGCATCAATTAAATAATTGTTGCATTAAATAAACAGTTGTTGCATACGTTATTGTGCCACTAAAATTATCTGCAGCACTACGTCACAGGTCTCTTATCTTTTAAAATCTTTTCAATCGTAACGTAAGTTAAGACGAAGTAAGATAACCCATTAAAAAGTAGATTAGTATTGTTAGGTCATTATTTATTTGCATTTAAGTTTTAAGTAATATCTTGTCAACTACCACACAGAGGATACCCAGAGTAACAAACAAACTCACTCTTAGACTGACACATTTGTATGCAAATTTGTTGAGCCCTTACCTTGACCTTCTGTTGAAATATAATATCCAACTTTGACCTCATGTACAACATATATATATATATATATATATATATATATATATATATATATGACCTTGAATGTATGTATAAACAGCAGGCTTTTGACCATGACCTATACCCTTGACCTACTTAAAAACTCACAGGTACCGACCTTGACATTCTGTATAACCGAGAGATGTTCGACCATGACCTTCTTTAAAAAAAACTACCAGAATAGTGACCTTGACTTTGTGTACAACCACCAGGTACCTGACCTTGACCTTGTCTCTACCCACCAGGTACCTGCCAGAAGTACCAGCTGGAGGGCTCCGGCTGTAGCGGCTTCGACAAGATGAACGGCTACTGCAGCTGTGAGCCGGGCACCTACTGCCATACCTACGAGATCCCTGATCCCATCGTCGTGCCCACCGCCCCCACCGCAGACGTCAAGAAACGGATGCCACTGATGCCCAGACCAGGCTTTACCTGGGTCTCCAGGTGTGAGAGACAGACGGCCTGAACGTCTTGATATCTGTTACATGATTTGTTACATGATTTGTTACTTGAATTGTTAAGTGATTTGTTAATGTAATAAAAGCCACTATACACAGTTGATTTGTTTGTAGCTCTCTATAAATTATAAGGGTGAAACTGTAAACGCATCGGAGAATTATTTATTAATGTAATATTTACTATAACAGAGAGTATATTCTAGTGCTTTCAATGTACTCGGTAAATTTACTCGATAAATATACTCGGTACTTTAGCTTAAAGTCTTGTTACCGGATGTTTGAGAAATTAGTAACTTAATTAATCACGGAGTATTAACTGAGAAAGGGAGATAAAGAGTGATTTTTATATGTGAGAGCACACACGATTGGTGTTAGAAGTTTAAATAAAATGAACTGTTACAATTAATACAATAACAAAAGTTACTTTAGACTGAGTTTGGTGAAAGGGGAGAGAATCGGACACCAGAAGTAGAATATGTTGTGGGGTATAGTGAAGAGCAGAGTAATGTGGGTTGCGGAGTGTGGGGTGGCTAGGGTTGTGAAGTGTGGGGTGATGGAGTGTGAAGTGTGGGGTAGAATAGGAATTGGCGAAACAGAAATCGGAGAGTTAAAAAACTGTCCATGGGCAATGGGGAACAGCCGCATCTAATTATTGTGTGAAGTTGTAAAGTTGCAACACAGAGCGTATACGGCCTGGCACGTATACAAATAATACGTTCCAGTTTAGGATCGAATGAACAAATTATACGTTCCAGTTTTAGGACTGATGTTTGAAAGCCGTCTTCAAGGTCAACTGAAAACATTTTTTTTCTCCGTTCTCAGCCACAGAGTCTTACCAATACCACAAACTTTCGAGGTTATATTTAGATCACGCAGACATACTTCTAGCAGTATAAAACAACACGATTAGGAGCTTTGAAAGGTTTAAATTATTCCATCCCTACACGGATCACATCTTGAAAATGCTTGCTCTGCTTTTGTTGGCCGGCCTTTTGGTGTCTACCCATGTGAGTAGTTTATTGCAAATAGGTCATCAATTGATGAGTAAAACGCCACTCTCATTAACTAACCTAGTAGCCACTTAAGGAACATTTGCTGGAGAAAATTGTTTAAAAGTTAAAAGTACATTTTCAGATTTTTTTCACGTATGTAATGACGTAAAAGAAATAAAAAATTGACATTAGTTATAATGATGTAACTAATCTTAATTGAGCAAAGAATGGCATGCAAAATATATTCTCTATGCACAGTGTAATGGCATGTATAAGTCAATTTGTTGTTGCCATAGTGCCTCAAGATGACAGGTACGACCGAGCAGCTGAGAACCAACATCGGATTGGTTTGCTATGTGGATGATTTGGATAGGTGACCTGAGTTAATTAGGTAGTGTCAAACCAATAATTAGGGAGAGTGTTATATAAGTAATTAGCGGTGGTTGGTGCAAAATCACTCTCATTAAAAATCTTTTAGCAAATAGAAATGTGATTGATCAGTAGTTCCTTACATTTCTCTAGTGTTTTGTTAATGTCCTACCAATTCTAAATCTGACATTTACCTGTCTAGCATGAGTTAACTAATCAACAACGATATCACCTGTCTCCCCCAGGGTAGAGTGGGCCAGTAGTGTCTCGTCAACTCAGAGTGTGACCACGGGGAATGTTGCCAGCGTCTGGGGATGTACCAGTACAGCATTTTTCACACGACGGCGACATTCTCTGACGGTGTCAACAACAGTAAGACTTGGGTCATCATTTTATCTTGCGGGCGTACGGGGGGCATACGGGGGGCATACGGGGGGCATAAGGGGGCATAAGGGGGCATAAGGGGGCATAAGGGGGCATAAGGGGGGCATAAGGGGGGCAAAGGGGCATAAGGGGGGCATAAGGGGGGCATAAGGGGGGCATAAGGGGCATAAGGGGGGCATAAGGGGCATAAGGGGGGCATAAGGGGGCATAAGGGGGCATAAGGGGGCATACGGGGGGCATAAGGGGGGCATAAGGGGGGTATAAGGGGGCATAAGAGGGGCATACGGGGGGCATAAGGGGGGCATACGGGGGGCATAAGGGGGGCATACGGGGGGCATAAGGGGGTATACGGGGGGCATACGGGGGGCATACGGGGGGCATACGGGGGCATAAGGGGGGCATACGGGGGGCATACGGGGGCATAAGGTGGGCATACGGGGGGCATAAGGGGGGCACACGGCCTCTGTCAATACTTTCCACTCTCCACGGTCTCCTGCCACTCTTTTCAGCTGTTCCAAATTTCTTTCTATCCTTCAGCCTTTTATAACTCGTTAGGTCATCATGACTTCCTGGGGTTACCCCTGCGTCGCTGGCCCCGGGGGGTTCCACTCCAGGGCTTGTATGGCTCTATTGCCAGAGTCTTTCCTCAGCGTCTGCCCAATCCATCGCCATTTCCTCTCCATGATTTGCTTTTCTTTTTTTTCCCTTGCCCACCTTTCTCCCTTAAGTTTTCCACGAATACGATAAAAAATAGCTCAATAGCTTTAGTTCTACTGGTAGAAATGACCATTGTATGCTAGTCTATACCCAGTGACGAACTAAGGATGGGGTAACTAGCCTCTAGAAATTACCCTTGTCTGCTTAGAGTAAGTTTCCAGACAAGAAGCCACTTCAACTCCTTAAAGTTAAACAATCTCTCGGTATAGAATCCTACCAGTTAGGGAGTCTAGGACTTAAACAATGATTTTCTAATATGACCAAAACAATTTCCCAGTGACCTGTCAGAGCTACCACCGTCGAGGCGATGACTGCGACCCTTACAGAGCTACCACCGTCGAGGCGATGACTGCGACCCTTACAGAGCAACCACCGTCGAGGCGATGACTGCGACCCTTACAGAGCTACCACCGTCGAGGCGATGACTGCGACCCTTACAGAGCAACCACCGTCGAGGCGATGACTGCGACCCTTACAGAGCTACCACCGTCGAGGCGATGACTGCGACCCTTGCTACCACCGTCGAGGCGATGACTGCGACCCTTGCTACCACCGTCGAGGCGATGACTGCGACCCTTGCTACCATCGTCGAGGCGATGACTGCGACCCTTACGCTGTGATGGGCGGTGTCTGCGGCTGTGAGCCAGGTACGGTGTGTCTTGGTAAGGACGTGCTGACCTCAAGTCTCCATCTCTGCCATTTCTATGTACTTTACTTTACCTATTTATCGCTAAAAGTATTGTTTTTGTAAATAGTTTTTTTTTACTACTGACTGGATGGTTTTTCACAGAAATCCAGATAAGAAATATTACAAATTACACTGAAAAACATGAGTGAGTTGGGTGTGATTCTATGGTCTACTAGAGAACCACCGACACAGCTGATATAAAAAACCAGCTGGTGTTTTAGATTTGGTCACTTGGACACAGATCTCAGATAGACAAGATGTACAGAGCTGTTTTTCTGGCTTTAGCGTGTGTGTTAGCGGTGTCTGATGTAAGTTTGTCTGGCTTTATGTACTAGCGGTGTCTGATGTAAGTTTGTCTGGCTTTATGTACTAGCGGTGTCTGATGTAAGTTTGTCTGGCTTTAGCGTGTGTGTTAGCGGTGTCTGATGTAAGTTTGTCTGGCTTTATGTGCTAGCGGTGTCTGATGTAAGTTTGTCTGACTTTAGCGGTGTCTGATGTAAGTTTGTCTGGCTTTGTGTGCTAGCGGTGTCTAAGTTTGTCTGACTTTATGTACTAGCGGTGTCTGATGTAAGTTTGTCTGACTTTATGTACTAGCGGTGTCTGATGTAATAGTTTAGTTTAAAAAAAAAATTTGTTGATCAAATTAGGCACATTTTTAAACTGATACAACTTACAATGTGTGTAACAAATTAACTGTAGTGTGTAGACAAAGTGGTAAACCCAACTAAAAAACCACTGTCCACCTCTAGGCCCTGGTGGGAAAAGTCTGTACCGTAGAGTCCGAGTGTGACGCCGGAGAATGTTGTCAGATCCTCAGTCAGTTCATGGTCATGAGCAGACGACAGGTGGACATTTTACCTTTGGCTACGTCACAGAAAAACGGTGAGTATATTGTAAACTAGTGGAAAAGGGGGCGGGTAGAAAGTATTGGTCAACTACTTTGAAATGTTGCCCGAATGTTACATGGTATCTAATCATCAGGTACGTGATGTGTACCGGTCAGCCGACCTTGACCTTCTCACTACCCACCAGGTACCTGACCTTGACCTCCTTCCAACCCATCAGGTACCAGACCTTGACCTTCTATCCACCTTTCAAGTACCCGACCATGACTTTGTCTCTAACCATCACGTACCTGACCTTAACTTCTTCCAAATCAACATGTACATGACCTTGACCTTTTGTACACCCACCAGGTACCTGACCCTGACCTTCTAACCACCCACCAGGTACCTGACCTTGACCTTATCTCTACCCACCAAGTACCTGACCTTGACCTTGTCTCTACCCACCAGGCACCTGCCAGAAGTACCAGCTGGAGGGCTCCGGCTGCTACAACCTGGACAAGATGAACGGCTACTGCAGCTGTGAGCCGGGCACCTACTGCCATACCTACGAGATCCCCTGGACCACCGTCCCTCCCACCGCCCCGCCCACAGAGGTCAACAAACGGATGCCACCCCTCAACAGACCAGGCTTTATGTGGATATCCAGATGTGAGAGACAGACGGCATAATCTTGACAGCAATAAACTTTTTCATTCTCCAGTTTTACAATCGTATCTATTTGTTTGTTTGTGTATGGTTGTGTGTGTGTGTATACATGTGTCTGTATGTGTAAACACCATAACTGGAGTACCGATTTAGTTAGGTGGATGAAATTTCATACACGTCTACTTGGTAATCTATAATATTAAAAAAATTTTTGGGGGGCAAACGGTCTTGGGACAAGTGGCTTCCGGGTAATAGGCGATTTAGAAAATTTATTGTACTCATGTTTTTTGATGTTAAGGGGAACTTAATGACACACAATAACACGCCAACACACAGATAGATAGCCACACGTTTAAAGTACAGACATTGGGACACTCCCATCGCGACCAGAGTTTCTTCCAGGCATCTCGAAAAATGTTTACCGCCCCCCCCCCCCCCGAACGAAATGAAATTTATATAATTTATATAGAAAATATATACTTTTAACAGTGTCCGCCCCCCCACCCCCGAAAATTTCAAGTGCCCCCCCCCCCCCCCGGAGAAAAAAATCTGGAAGAAACACTGATCGCGACCCTTATTGTTGTATGCCAATGTAAAGTTTAGGGGAACTTTAGTTCTTCCTTTTCTTGACTAAGACATGCAATTTACAGAGTCAGTTTGCCTTGCGTGTTCGCTTTGGTATGACATCATCGGCTATACTTTTCTCTCACAAGTACTTTTATTTATTGAAGATGGTTCACTAAATATACACAATGCAAAACGTCTAATTTCATTTTTTTTCTTCCATTCCTGGAAATTAAAATATTTGTAAAATGGTGATTCAGTGTGTATAAAGTGTTGATGGCGTTTGGAGAAGTAAAAAAAATAATATAAAAGAACATCAGATAGAAGGGCATTTTCCTAACTTGTTTGGTGGGTGGGTTGGGGTGAGCGGGGGGGGGGGGGGGTGGCTAAATAAGAAATAAAATCTGGACACCCCAATTGCAAAAGAGGAAAGATCTAAGCCGATAGACGGACTAAAACTAAATAAAGCTCCAGGACCAGACGGACTAATGAGTTAATTTTATAAAACTTTAAAAAATGACTTAATACCTATTTTAAGAAACTAAATTATTAAATTGTCAATTTCATTAGAATGGTTAGTTAAATACAAAATACTTTTGCAGAAAGTGAAAATCCAGAAAGAAGCCGGCTGAATTCATAGTGAAGGACACACAAGCCGTATAACACGTTGATAATTACCACTGAAATAATTGTATTAGAGAAAAAACCCACCCAATATTACAATATAGAACACAGAAGAAAACCTTCAAATGATAGTCAAAATTTTAAAAATATTGCAGTGTTGCTGAAACGTATTGATCTCAATAAAAGTAATTATGGGCTTGATTACATAGCCAATCAAAGTTCGTGTTTTGAGGCTGATAGGACCAAAATATGTCAAGGTTTCAGTAAAATGTGCACATATAGCAATAAATTAAAAAAAAACAACTGGTGAAAAAAAAAAATCTACAATTTTTAAGCTTTATATTGAATATTGATTGTTTTCCTTATAAGCTACCTGTGAGAATAATTAGACAACAATTATCCCTTAACAATCATAGAGTTCTTAAATACAGGTGTGTAGAATGCCATTATAAAAATACTTCAAGTTAAAGCGAATCTCAAGTATTTTACAGACAACAGAATTTGAAAAAAATATTGGTTTAGACATTTTGTTGACTTGCTTTATGCGACACAATAATGGAGAGAAAAATCTGACTTCTGATAAGAGCAAGTAGGCCGTTAAAATATTAATCAATTCACGATTTGGGAAAGTCATGTCATTTAATTTTTTTTTTAAACTTCCAAATCTGTCAACACAATCTCTTGCTTATTTAAAAAGGTAACATTAACAATCTTCACCTTGACCTTGAAAATGATAAGATAGACCCAAATGTCGTCACCGAGTGCAATATTCTCTGAAGCCAGTGGCCAACGATAAAACAGTGAGATCAGTAGCCACATAGCCAGTAGCCACATAGCCAGTAGCCACATAGCCAGTAGCCACATAGCCAGTAGCCACATAGCCAGTAGCCACATAGCCAGTAGCCACATAGCCAGTAGCCACATAGCCAGTAGCCACATAGCCAGTAGCCACATAGCCAGTAGCCACATAGCCAGTAGCCACATAGCCAGTAGCCACATAGCCAGTAGCCACATAGCCAGTAGCCACATAGCCAGTAGCCACAGCCAGTAGCCAGAATTGTCGATATGGAAAAAATCATTTTGTTAGCCTTTGTGTGTCTGTTGGTGGGTGCTTCGGTAAGTTGTGACGTTAGTTTAATTTCTTGACGTCATAGGACCTCAATTTGTGACCTGTGACCTAAGTTTTACGACGTAGAATTATGACGTTTGTTAAATTTGTTGACGTGACCTTATTAAACATGAACGTCAATGTTGACTGACTAGTTGCTACGTGTAGCTTGTGTGGTCAACTTGTAGCTTGTTTAGATAAAACATGGATGCTTTTTTAGCTTTATGGCTGGCTTCAGCCATATAACTAGGTTACTCAAAGACCTAGAGGCCAACTAAAATTAAAAAGTCGGTTACAGCCTAATAGCAAGCTCACTCACAGACCTAGAGGCCAACTAGATATTTGGTTACAACCGTTAGAATATCAATCACAATAAGCACCAGATTTGATAACAATCCTGACAATAATGAGGTCATCTCTGGCAGGCTCAAGATGGAAAAGTCTGCACAGATTCCAGCGAATGTGGAGCAGACGAGTGTTGTCAGAAGTTGGTTCACCTGCCCATCATGAGCAGACGACAGCTGTCACTGTTCGACCCACCTGCTACAGGTAAGTCTGACCTTTCTAACCCCTGGTACAGGTAAGTTGTTTCCCTTGTGCTATGTGTGATGTGTAATTTTACATCGTTAAAATCTGGGATGGTTTCCATCTACACCCTAACTCACGTGCAGTCTCATGTTGTTCCAGGCACGTGCGAGAAGTACCGCCACGAGGGTGAGCAGTGTGAGTCCCACTTTGCTGTGGTCGGCTACTGCGGCTGTGTGTCCGGTCTGGCGTGCACGAGATTCGAGGAGCCGCTGACCACTCCGGTCAGTCTCAGGTCACTCATGATTCCACCTGCCGGCATCACCTGGGTCTACAAGTGTGCCAAAGCACAACTGTAATAAACAACTCAACTTGAAGAGAAACCTGGGCGTCTTGTGTTTACTTTGTTTTCTTTTGTTCTATAATGTAAAACAAACCTGGGTTTGTTTTCTGGTAGATCTAACAAAGTCCCAGACACAGACTGGATTTGTTTTCTGGTAGATCTAACAAAAGTCCCAGACACAGATTGCCTAAGGCACAAAGTTCCAGCGACGGCAGGATAAAAACGTCACGTCTAGACAGACTTTACTCCTGTGTCGGTCTAGGCTTATCAATGGACCAGGCAAATAGCCCGCAAAAACCAAGACAACTCTACCAAGGAACTTACAGCCGTAGGCCCTCCTTACATGTTTAACATAGAACCGATAACGATGACGACATGACGGATAACGATGACGAAACATGTGTTTACTGATTGGAGCGGTGTAGACAACACAAAGCACACATACACTCTCACACTTACACACATACTACATACATACCCCCACCGTCACATACCTGAACAATATTTTTGCAATCATGTTCATTAGCTAAACAACAAAAACCTCACGGACGTAAAAATAATGGGACCTGATGCGGCGTGTTACAATATCCGTACAATCTCGCCTGGGGTCAGGATCAAGTCATGTGACCAGACCACCTGACCGATCCAGCCAATCAGAAAACAGTCACAGTCTTGTCAGGACGCTAGTGTCGCTGGATGTTTGTGAATCTCTAATTAAAGGCTTAATGAATATTGTCACCTGATGCGGAAAAACAACGGCTGTCACAAACCTGTCTCAAACACTGGACTCACTGTTCAGGTAATAAACTCTAGTATGGCTCACCTACACAGGTACACAGACAGGTGTTTGATGACACCGTACACAAAACATATTGGTGCTTACATCATGAGATTTGGGCCCTTAGCTGCTTACATCATGAGATTTGGGTTCTGGTGTAGGTGCTTACATCATGAGTTTTGGGCTATGGTTTAGCTGCTTGTCTTGTATGTTTTTTTTTCTTGTTAAAATTCTGTTACAAATAAACCGGGAGTGATCTCCAATAAACTTTCTCGAATATTCTTATATAAAACAACAAGGGATGGGTACTCGGGATATAGTTATGATTTTTAATCCATTTTAAATACTTAAACTTTTTAAAATAGAATAGAATCTCATAGAAAAAAGAATTGCGCACCAAGCGAACGCCGAATAAAGATGTGTATAATAGTGCGGAATATTATTAGTACTTTATACATTCACATGCGTTTTTTGAGAAATCGGAAATAGTGAAAATTACTACTTCCGGTCAACGGAAAATACTCAAAATTTGTCAGAAAGCAGAAAATTGGATCTTATCACTTACATGTGAAATTTCATTTATCTATCTGAAATAGTACTCAAGTTATAGGCTTTTGAAAAATTCAAAGTAGGAAAAGTACCACTTCCGGTTATCGGAAATCGCTGAAAAGTTGATACGGATCTACGATTTTGATATAATACTTATATATGAAATTTCATCAACCTAGCTGTAACGGTACTCAAGTTATCGTGTTTACACACACACACACACACACATACACACACAGAGACATACGGACAAGATTGCAAAACTATGTTTTTCCGACTCAGGGAAGTGTAAAACGTCGAGTTTTGCAAAAATCTCGATTTTTTTTGGCACGATTAAAATACTTTCTCTATACTTCGTATATACGAGAAAGTAAAAACTGGTGGCAATACCAAAATGAAAATACACCTGTAAGGTATGGAGTGCTGTGTAATTACACATGTAAGTGGTGTGTCATTGGTGACAAAAATAGAAACCCCGTGCCTGGATGTACCGTGGGAAGCAGCCACAGACACAGACACGGTCAACATGACGGACATTATGATCTGGTTAATTAATGGGCAATTTTAGACGTTGTCATCCATAATTATCGAGTTAGGTGTGTCGTAATTCCTTAATTACAGGGCGCAAGATTCCTTAAAATACCCAGTGCATACCCTCACATGTCAGATCTCACGTATTCCATCACTAAATTACAGGGCGCAAGATTCCTTAAAATACCCAATGCATACCCTCCCATGTCAGATCTCACGTATTCCATCAAAATCAAACTACCTGAGATTGTTAAGTCAAGCTACTTGAGTTCGTTACCTAAAGCAGACGGTAGAATGTTGGGATTTTTTGTTTTTCTTGGCCTTGCTGTCGTCACCCACTGTTTTGTAAGTTGAGCTAAATTCATTAATTCTTTTCATTTGTTTGGCTGCTAATCTCACATGGAGTTTAAGGAACAGTACAAATTTGATGAGCAAAAGATGACAATGACACCCAACACTAACAAATGTCACACTTGAGCGAATTAAAAAGTTGATAGATAACCCGCATATTTGATTGGGTTACAACACAGCTTTAATTTACACGTTTTAAAACTGTAATAAACCTCTTGATAAGAATTTGTATCATTTTTTTTTCAGGAACAACAGGATGTTGACCATATCGATCTAAATGTTAGTTTTTTTGTTCGATTGTTAAGTATGATCATTTGAAAAAAAACCATTTTGAATATTACATTTTAAAATTTCATTTCATCTAATTTATATTAAAGAGTAGGTCTATCTAGCACATAAAATCACGTTTGTCGGCAAAGATTTTATGAAAAATAAGCATTATACATTTATCCATTTTGCATCACCCCCACCATCCCATAACGACACGACAACCATCCCACCACCACCACCATCCCAACACACCATCTCAACCACACTACTACCACCACCACAATCTCCCACCACCACCATCTCCGCACCATCACCACCATCCCCTCACTACCACACCACCACCACACCACCGCCATCATCCACCACCACACCACCACCACACCACCACCATCATCCACCACCACACCACCACCACCATCATCCACCACCACCATCCCTCTCCACACCACCACCACCACACAACCACCACCACCACCACCATCCCCCACCCCACCACCACCCCCACCACCACACCACCACCACCACCACCCCCACCACACCACCACCATCCCCTCACTACCACACCACCACCATCCCCCACCCCCCACCACACCACCCCACCATTCAGGGCAAGACCTGCACCAGCAACAGTGACTGTGAACCTGACGAATGTTGCCAAAAGCTCATAGAGAACCAGATGTCAAGCAGAAAACGGGCAGCCGAGGTGCCGGGTCAAAGGTCAACCCTGAAGAACAAAACAGGTCAGTGGCCACCAATCGTCTCTAGCTGATGTCTCTAGCTGATGTCTCTAGCTGATGTCTCTAGCTGATGTCTCTAGCTGATGTCTCTAGCTGATGTCTCTAGCTGACGTCTCTAGCTGACGTCTCTAGCTGACGTCTCTAGCTGACGTCTCTAGCTGACGTCTCTAGCTGACGTCTCTAGCTGATGTCTCTAGCTGATGTCTCTAGCTGCTGTCTCTAGCTGACGTCTCTAGCTGACGTCTCTAGCTGACGTCTCTAGCTGACGTCTCTAGCTGACGTCTCTAACTGACGTCTCTAGCTGACGTCTCTAGCAGACGTCTCTAGCTGACGTCTCTAGCTGACGTCTCTAGCTGATGTCCCCAGCTACTGCTAGAGAAGTATCGCTGTCTTTACACCAGCTACAGTTATATGTATCAAACACTTTCACAGGGAACATTTGAGACACGTTGAAAGGGAACATTTGAGACACGTTGAAAGGGAACATTTGAGACACGTTGAAAGGGAACATTTGAGACACGTTGAAAGGGAACATTTGAGACACGTTGAAAGGGAACATTTGAGACACGTTGAAAGGGAACATTTGAGACACGTTGAAAGGGAACATTTGAGACATGTTGAAAGGGAGCATTTGAGACACGTTGAAAGGGAACATTTGAGACACGTTCACAGGGAACATTTGAGACACGTTGAAAGGGAACATTTGAGACACGTTCAAAGGGAACATTTGAGACACGTTCAAAGGGAACATTTGAGACACGTTCACAGGGAACATTTGAGACACGTTGAAAGGGAACATTTGAGCAGGGGCGTAGCGAGGGGGGGTGCGGGGGGTGCGGACCGCACCGGGCGACACCATTTAGGGGGGTGACACCAAGGCAAAAAATAGCAAAATATATAGAGAAAAACTCGAGGGGGGGGGTGCAAATCGAAAGTTTGAGGGGGGGGGATGCAAATCGAAACTTTGAGGGGGGGGTGCAAATCGAAAACTTGAGGGGGGGGGGTGCAAATCGAAACTTTGAGGGGGGGGGTGCAAATCGAAAATTTGAAAGTTTGTCCCTGGGAAGGGTCTCTATGCCTCTGGGGGGGGGGGGGTGACACCATTAAGTGCCGCACCGGGTGACACCCGACCTCGCTACGCCACTGCATTTGAGACACGTTGAAAGGGAACATTTGAGACACGTTGAAAGGGAACATTTGAGACACGTTCAAAGGCACGCTTATACACGCTCACACACGCTCACCACAATAAAACGTTTTCTATTCAATTTTGAAAATCTATTTCTTCTAAAACTTGCAGGAACTTGACAAAATCTATTTCTTCTAAAACTTGCAGGAACTTGTCAAAAGTACAAGCTGGACGGTGACGTGTGTTTCATAGTTGACGTCACTAACGGCTACTGCGGCTGTAAGCCAGGCTCTACGTGCCAACAGGCCAAATCAAACAAGTCCCGCAACCCCAGGATGGTGGCTTTCCCAGACGACTACTATGAATGGCTAAACGTCTGCAGAGTCGAAAGTGAAGCCGAAGTACAATATCTTCATTTCAACTTTTACTTCTAAAATTCTATCTACATGATATACCACACTTGTGTTAACTAGCTCAGGGAGATTTCACTCCATCTTAATAACCGAACCCTAAACAGCTGAGTCACAACCGTAGGCTCTGCCACTGGACTTGGCAGAAATATATAATTTTGTTGCACACATTTGTAAGCTAATTAGCCCATATAATTATCGTTTAATTACCGCAGGTCAAACTCTGCAGCTCCGACTCCGAGTGTCTCCCAGATGAATGTTGCCAGAATCCAAATAAGGTTCAACTGGCCAGCAGAAAAAGGGAGGCTACTCGTGTCCTCGCGACAGTGGCCACAATGACTAAGTTAGGTGAGTTATGGTCCCTGGTTAGTATTTAGTACCCTCCACACACATACACACACATACATATGATATCGATATGCTTATTTTAGATGTGCTAACTCTTAGAAGATGCCCAATCTTCATTTCACACAAACAATTTACCTTGAAAATCTACAACACATTTATCAACAACTGAACAAACCGTCTACCATCAGTATTTCAGTCGCTACCACCTGATTATATATATATATATATACATACATATATATATATATATATATATATATATATATATATATATATATATATATATATATATATATATATATATATATATATAGGTAAATCTTTTTAAAATGTACCAACTTGGGAACAGAACAAAACTAAACACAACACAAACACAACACAACACAAACACAACACAAACACAACACAACACAACACAAACAAAACACAAACACAACACAAGCACAACAAAAACACAACACAAACACAACATAGAAACAACAGAGACACAACGCAAACACAACATAACACAACACAACACAAACACAACACAAATAGTGGTAACTATAAAATAAATTTAAGTTATTATATAAACAAACACTATTCTATTACTTATTAAAAGACACTGCGATGCACTGAAAAGCACTGCATGGTGCGATGATTACCTTTATGGTTCCAAAATCTATAGTGATGACACGAGGACTGACACTACCAGCCCGCTTATATTATAGATGGTCTGACGGGTGTTCTATGGTTTTCAAAATTGACTTAAACTTTATCGTTAACTGATGTGTTTGCAATACAAGCTTTTATTAACTTGCTTCCTCGTTCTTTTGTCTGTCGTGCTTCGTCAGGGATCGAAACTGACGAGCGAGATTTCGACCACTTCTAACGGACGAATTTCTCTGAAAATTGGGTCGTGGATCAAGACCCAATGACAATGCAATCTGACATGAAATTCGACTTAGTATTTTGCAACTTTGTGTTGAGGTAATCCCCCCCCCTCTCACCTCCCATGGTACTTGCTTTAAACAGTGCTGAGATTATACCAACGATTTTTATCTATAGTCGGTTATAAATACAGCTGGATGTAGAATATTATTTTCTCTATCATTAGCAGGTTTACGTAATGGTGTCCCCCCCTCCACCTTTGTCGGGATTTGTCAACTTTGCGCTTAAAGATTATTTAACTCACTCTAATTTAATTAAGAGGAATTATCATTTTTCTGTATATATTTTGCTATTTTTTTCCTTGGTGTCACCCCCCCTAAATGGAGTCACCCGGTGCGGTCCGCCGCCCCCACTCCCCCTCGCTACGCCTCTGATGTTGACTTTGTGTTGATTAATGCAATCTTGACTTTCTCTATGTTGGGTAATCTTGACTTTGTCTATGTTGGGTAATCTTGACTTTGTCTATGTTGGGTAATCTTGACTGTCTATGTTGGGTAATCTAGACTTTGTCTATGTTGGGTAATCTGTCTTTGTCTATGTTGGGTAATCTTGACTTTGTCTATGTTGGGTAAACTGTCTTTGTCTATGTTGGGTAATCTTGACTTTGTCTATGTTGGGTAATCTTGACTTTGTCTATGTCGGGTAATCTTGACTTTGTCTATGTCGGGTAAACTTGACTTTGTCTATGTTGGGTAATCTTGACTTTGTCTATGTTGAATAATCTTGACTTTGTCTATGTTGGGTAATCTTGACTTTGTCTCCCATCTAGCAGGCACTTGCCAGAAGTACACGCGACCCGGCGAGTTCTGTGATCAGTTTGCCAAGATAAACGGCTTCTGTGGGTGCCAGTCTGGAACTGGGTGTACAGGCCGCGAGGTGCCGGCCACAGCCCCAGGGTCGGGCAAGGTGCCGGTCGAAGCAGCAGGCACCCGCGGGTCCACAGCCCCAGGGTCGGGCAAGGTGCCGGTCGACTACTCCAGAAGTCGGCGTGATCTGATGCCGTCACGGCCCGGCTACGTGTGGGAGTACACATGTACGTCCATCAGCCCAGCTGAGGGAGGTGTGTGAGGTGTGTGAGGTGTGTGAGGTGTGTGAGGTGTGTGAGGTGTGTGAGGTGTGTGACGTGTGTGACGTGTGTGACGTGTATCGCCAGACGTGACACACGTCTTAGTGTGTCAACACGTCATGTCGTGACGACAGAGAGAGTTGTGTTGTCACCTTTAAACGAACAAAAAATGGGATTACACAAAATTAAGAAAAAGAATGTTTGAACATAAAAATCAAGCGGATAGTGGCGTGGAATTAAACACATTGCTCACACCTTACCGGATTATTGTACACAGTCGGTAAAACTTTTCCTTGTTTTAAAAATTAAATGTAAAAGCTACAAGAATTGATTATTTTTGAAAAAAATTAAAACCAACCGTGTTTTAAACTCTAATGTTGTCTTGTTATTGAATGTAAAAATGTGTCCAAAAATGATGTGTGCTTCAAAATGTAAAGAAATGTTTTTTTTTCTCCTAAGTGAATATTTTTTTAAAATTATAAGCCAACAAATATTTGAAAAAAAAAAACAGTATTCATGAAGTCAAGATGCAGATTGTGAAAAATCTGGCAGATTGCGGCTCTGCCCACCTGAAAGTTTGTCTTTAAACAAAAGTCCAGGCGTCGAATATTGTGCACACAAACACGTTTATCTACTGAGTTTTGGGAGGAACAGACAAAAATATGACCGAAGTGAGAACAATATAACGGATCAAATCTTATCAAATTATTTATCATGGAAACAACAGGCATGATTTGACGGCAACAAATTGTTTCAGCTAGCAGACGACAATATCCGCCCCCACGTCAGCCAACCAGCCAATCGGCAAACATTTCCGCGTCATTGCTTTGATTGTCTATATCAGCTAATGAGTCGTTTGTTTTTGTCGCCTGATCTAATGAACCAACCTGCGGGGCACAGACTGACACACTCACTGCACACAAGGATTGGCCAGGTAATATAAGCCAGGGCTGCTCACCTACACGTGGTCAGTAGAGAAGTTGTCAGGGGTGTGAGTTTACCGTTCAAACACCAGACACCAAACACCATCACACACCATGAAACTTGTGCTCTTTGTTTTAGGAGCTTGTCCCTTCTGGCTAGGAAATGTAAGTTCTTTGCTCTTTTATATTTCAATACTGAATGTAGGTAGAGTTGGTGTACTAAAGTGTAGAGTACTGCACTGACTTTTTCTGGGTGCAGTCAGGCGACTTAAGTTGACTGTGGGAACCTGACTTAATTTGACTGTAAGAGCCTGACTTAAGCTGACTTTGAGAACCTTACTTGACTGTGAGAACCTGACTTTAGTTGACTGTGAGAACCTGACTTGACTGTGAGAACCTGACTTGACTGTGAGAACCTGACTTGACTGTGAGAACCTGACTTGACTACCTGACTTGACTGTGAGAACCTGACTTGACTGTGAGAACCTGACTTGACTGTGAGAACCTGACTTGACTGTGAGAACCTGACTTGACTACCTGACTTGACTGTGAGAAGCTGACGACTATGAGAACCTGACTTGACTGTGTGAACCTGACTTGACTACCTGACTTGACTGTGAGAACCTGACTTGACTGTGAGAACCTGACTTGACTGTGAGAACCTGACTTGACTGTGAGAACCTGACTTTAGTTGACTGTGAGAACCTGACTTGACTGTGAGAATCTGACTTGACTGTGAGAACCTGACTTGACTGTGTGAACCTGACTTGACTACCTGACTTGACTGTGAGAACCTGACTTGACTGTGAGAACCTGACTTGACTGTGAGAACCTGACTTGACTAACTGACTTGACTGTGAGAACCTGACTTGACTGTGAGAACCTGACTTGACTACCTGACTTGACTGGGAGAACCTGACTTGACTGTGAGAACCTGACTTGACTACCTGACTTGACTGTGAGAAGCTGACGACTATGAGAACCTGACTTGACTGTGTGAACCTGACTTGACTGTGAGAACCTGATTTGACTGTGAGAACCTGACTTGATTGTGAGAACCTGACTTGACTGTGAGAGCCTGACTGGACTACCTGACTTGACTGTGAGAACCTGACTTGACTGTGAGAACCTGACTTGACTGTGAGAACCTGACTTGACTACCTGACTTGACTGTGAGAACATGACTTGACTGTGAGAACCTGACTTGACTACCTGACTTGACTACCTGACTTGACTGTGAGAACCTGACTTGACTACTTGACTTGACTGTGAGAACCTGACTTGAGTGTGAGAACCTGACTTGACTGTGAGAACCTGACTTGACTGTGAGAACCTGACTTGACTACCTGACTTGACTACCTGACTTGACTGTGAGAACCTGACTTGACTACTTGACTTGACTGTGAGAACCTGACTTGACTGTGAGAACCTGACTTGACTGTGAGAACCTGACTTGACTACTTGACTTACACCAACCTGCAGGCAGCAGTTGGCAGACGATGCACGACAGACGCCCAGTGTGACGTCACGGAGTGCTGTGAGAAACCTTACGTCACCATCGTCAGTCGGAAAAGAGTTGTCGGGACTGGTGACATCAGGAAACCTCCCAAAACTGGTCGGTTCAATTAATTTACCTTCATTAATCTATTTAAATTAATTAACCCTCATTAATTGATTTGAGCGAGACTCGGCAAGTTTAAGTCTGGGTAAACTGTGTGGTCGTCTGCTAGAGCACGTGACTGTTGACCCCATAGTCTCGAGTTCGGATCACGAGCTTGAGTTCTAAGCACGTCACGGCGCCTATCCAGCTTTAATGGGTGGGTACCTGGCACGTGTTGGGGTGGGTAAAACCTGCTATAAACAGACGAACTTAACTTTGTATTTACATACGACGGGGGGGGGGGGGGGGGGGTTAGCAGTATGTATGATGTGACTAAGGTGAGCTAGACTTATTAATTGAAGCGTAACCGGATTTGTAGTTCATTAATTCAAGGCTCACCGACTGAAATCTCGATATTTTATCTTAACTTTGCCAAAATTGCAATTAAATATTTTAAAAATGTAATTAGCCTAGCTAAGAATACGACGAAAATAGAATTAAAAATGTTGACAAAAAACTTGATACAATTATTTTGACGAAAAAAAAACTTGAAACAATTATTTTGACAAAAAACCTGATACAATTATTTTGACAAAAAACCTGATACAATTATTTGGACCCAGGAACGTGCCAGAAGTACAAGCTAGAGGGAGAGAACTGCAGCGGATTTGATAAACCTAACGGCTACTGCGGCTGTCGGCCAGGCACCATCTGCAGGTCCAGGGAGGTACCACAAGACATCAGGAGACTGGTGGCGGCACCTAGACCACCAGGGTACGGCTGGGTCTCAACGTGTGAGAAGTCTTAAACACGGCACGGGACTGTCTGATGGGAGCTTGGGGGGGGGGGGGGGGAGGTGTGTGGGAAGTGGGGGGGGGATTGTTACAGCTGAACTGACCTGTAAACAAGTCTGATTGTAAAATAGTAGGGAAAAATGTTTATATATGAAAATAAATTTGGTATAAAGTTTCTTTAGTGTTGTTTTTGTGCTTTTCCTCTTTAAAGGCCGATCTACCACATATTTTACACCTTGTTAAAGGCCGATCTACCACATATTTTACACCTTGTTAAAGGCTGATCTACCACATACTGTACACCTTGTTAAAGGCTGATCTACCACATATTTTACACCTTGTTAAAGGCCGATCTACCACATATTGTGCATTGGTGAAGGCGGTTCTAGCACATACTGAAGTTAAAGGTCGATCACATATACAAAGTACGCCATGTTGTAGGCTCATACATCCACTTACCAGGCAACAACCAATGAAGTCACCAGTAATACCGACAACCTACAGAGTTATCTGACAAACAAATCGAACTATCTGACAGAGTTAGATCACACAAACAAACCGAACTATCTGACAGAGTTATCTGACAGAAACCAACAATCTATATGTTCGTGTTACACATCTAAGCACGGTCACAGATAAGGCAGAACACAGACAGTGGACACTATGGCCAGAAACATGTTTGTCTTGCTAGTTACGGCTTGTGTCTTCTTGGTTGCTGAGGTAGGTTGGTAGTAAATGAGGTAAGTTGCTAGTAAATGAGGTAAGTTGCTAGTTAATGAGGTAAGTTGCTAGTTAATGAGGTAAGTTGCTAGTTAATGAGGTAAGTTGGTAGTTAATGAGGTAAGTTGCTAGTTAATGAGTTAAGTTGCTAGCTAATGAGGTAAGTTGGTAGTTAATGAGGTAAGTTGGTAGTTAATGAGGTAAGTTGGTAGTTAATGAGGTAAGTTGCTAGTTAATGAGGTAAGTTGGTAGTTAATGAAGTAAGTTGCTAGTTAATGAGGTAAGTTGCTAGTTAATGAGGTAAGTTGGTAGTTAATGAGGTAAGTTGGTAGTTAATGATGTAAGTTGGTAGTTAATGAAGTAAGTTGGTAGTTAATGAGGTAAGTTGGTAGTTAATGATGTCAGTTGTTAGTTAATGAAGTAAGTTGGTAGTTAATGAGGTAAGTTGGTAGTTAATGAGGTAAGTTGCTAGTTAATGAAGTAAGTTGGTAGTTAATGAGGTAAGTTGGTAGTTAATGATGTAAGTTGGTAGTTAATGAGGTAAGTTGCTTTTCAGGTTGGTTTCAGATAAACAACAACTCTTCGTGACTATGTTCATTACTTTTATTCCGTCAAAAAAAATATATATTCATGCGTAGCCCTCGTCCTACCCGCTATCATCTAACTCCCGACAATCATTCACTCCAGCTTTTATACCGCATTCGACCTTGGGATAACAATACACAAACACACCGGGGTTAACAATATTCTAGGGTAAACTCAACTCACACACGCACTCTCCCCTAATTCTAGATCATTCTATCCTATTCTAATCTAACCTACAACTGACCCGTAACAATTGCTAGTTAATGAGGTAAGTTGGTAGTTAATGAGGTAAGTTGGTAGTTAATGAGGTAAGTTGCTAGTTAATGAGGTAAGTTGCTAATTAATGAGGTAAGTTGGTAGTTAAAATGAGGTAAGTTGCTAGTTAATGAGGTAGATTGGTAGTTGATGAGGTAAGTTGGTAGTTACTGAAGTAAGTTACTGAGGTAAATTATGAGTCACTTAAGAGTTTGATAGTCACCGTGCCAGTTGTACGATAGACATCTTTAAAGAAATTCTCTCGACTTTGGCTGAGTTAGTGATCGATATTCGGCCAAAAAAACAAATCTAATTAACAAGATCCTCCACTGTGATTTGAACCCCGGACCTTTCCCCACCAGGCAGCCGTAGGGTCAACGTGTCAGACAGCTGCTGAATGTGAGCCAGGGGAATGTTGCCAGATTTTGAGTGAGTTCATGGTGGCAAGTAGAAGGCAAGCACCGGCTGATGTACTGCAGGCTTTACCTAGAACAGGTCAGTGGCTTGTTGTGTAACGTCAGTGGTCCCACCTATATGTACACCTGTATCCCACCTATATTTACATCTGTGTCCTAGTTATACTTACACCTGTGTCCCACCATATTTACACCTGTGTCTCACCTATATTTACACCTGTGTCCCCCCTATATTTACACCTGTGTCCCCACCTATATTTACACCTGTGTCCCACCTATATTTACACCTGTGTGTCCCACCTATATTTACACCTGTGTCCCACCTATATTTACACCTGTGTGTCCCACCTATATTTACACCTGTGTGTCCCACCTATATTTACATCTGTGTCCCACCTATATTTACACCTGTGTCCCGCCTATATTTACATCTGTGTCCCACCTATATTTACACCTGTGTCCCGCCTATATTTACATCTGTGTCCCATCTATATTTACATCTGTGTCCCACCTATATTTACACCTGTGTGTCCCACCTATATGTACACCTGTGTTTCACCTATATTTACACCTGTGTCCCACTTATATTTACACCTGTGTGTTCCACCTATATTTACACCTGTGTCCCACCTATATTTACATCTGTGTCCCACCTATATGTACACCTGTGTCCCACCTATATTTACACCTGTGACCCCCCACCTATATTTACACCTGTGTCCCACCTATATTTACACCTGTATCCCACCTATATGTACACCTGTGTCCCACCTATATGTACACCTGTGTCCCACCTATATTTACACCTGTGTCCCACCTATATGTACACCTGTGTCCCACCTATATTTACATCTGTGTCCCACCTATATTTACACCTGTGTCCCACCTATATTTACACCTGTGTCTCAATATATTTACACCTGTATCTCATCTATATTTACATCTGTGTCCCACCTATATTTACACCTGTGACCCCTCACCTATATTTACACCTGTGACCCCCCACCTATATTTACATCTGTGTCCTACCTATATTTACACCTGTGTCCCACCTATATTTACACCTGTGTCCCACCTATATTTACACCTGTGTCACACCTATATTTACACCTGTGTCCTACCTATATTTACACCTGTGTGTCCCACCTATATTTACATCTGTTTCTCACCTATATTTACATCTGTTTCTCACCTATATTTACACCTGTGTCCCCACCTATATTTACACCTGTGTCCTACCTATATTTACACCTGTGTGTCCCACCTATATTTACACATGTGACCCCCCACCTATATTTACACCTGTGTCTCACCTATATTTACACCTGTGTCCCACCTTTATTTACACCTGTGCCCCCCACCACAGGAAGCTGCCAGAAGTACACCTTAGAGGGCGGTAACTGTGACACCCTGGACAAGATGAACGGCTACTGTAGCTGTGAGCCGGGCACCTACTGCCACATGTACGAGGTGCCACTGACCACTGCAAGGAGGGGCGTCCGTGGGGCCCCCATGGTCAGGCCAGGCTACACCTGGGTGTCCAAGTGTGAGAAGACGACAGCATAGGACCACTGACAGGATAGGACCACTGACAGGATAGGACCATAGACAGGATAGGACCATTGACAGGATAGGACCATTGACAGGATAGGATCATTGACAGCATAGGACCATTGACAGGATATGGCCATTGACAGGATATGGCCATTGGCAGGATAGGACCATTGACAGGATATGGCCATTGGCAGCATAGGACCATTGACAGGATATGGCCATTGACAGGATATGGCCATTGGCAGGATAGGACCATTGACAGGATATGGCCATTGGCAGCATAAGACCATTGACAGGATATGGCCATTGACAGGATAGGACCATTGACAGTATATGACCATTGACAGGATAGGACCATTGACAGGATAGGACCATTGACAGGATAGGACCATTGACAGGATAGGACCATTGACTGGATATGACCATTGACAGGATAGGACCATTGACATTATAGGACCATTGACTGGATAGGACCATTGACATACCGGTGCTGGACATTGAATAGAAAGACATTGAATTTTTAGAAAAAAGCTGACTAAACATCTAGATGACAACAAACACAAAAATATAAACAAAGTATTCAATAAATTCAATGTCTTGTTAATTTTATTACCACGATTTTAGTTAGCGCCTGAATGAAAATAAATATCGAGTTGTGGCCCCTGATTTGTCCGGAGATCAGTGTCAGAAATTCGTGTCTGCTCCTTGTTAACAAATCGACGTGAACGTTTACTTATAAACAGACACAGAAAAATGTTTGTGTTTCTGGTACCCTCCTCCACCCCACACCCCCTACCACCACCCCCTCTTGTGTTGACCAGGGGACAGAATTACACCCCTGGTAGCCCCCCTCCCCTCCCCCACCCTACCACCACCCCCTCCTGTGTTGACCAGTGGACAGAACTACACCACAGGTTCCCTAATGTCTTCTTGTTCACGTTCAGTGTACAGCGTGTTTGTTTGTTCCACAACACAGACAAAAGTCTGTCTGTTACAGTCTGACACAGACAGACGTGAGAAGCAGACGACAGACACGTCATCACGAAAACAAAACCACAGGATATCTTGGGCAAATTATTGTCTTCACATGAGACAATCACATGCTTTTAGAAACACAGTTACCTCCCATCATCTCTCATATAAAAACGTCAACAACGTTTTGGTACACATAGTTCGCTTGTCTGTGTGGTAGATCTACATCGTCTGATCTTCTTGTCTAAGTGACGTCTGCCAACTTGAACTTCGACTGGCATCCAGTAATCGATTACTGCAATGACACCTTTGGTTATATTTGTGTTGTTGTCATGCCTTAACTTGGCTGAAGTAAGTTACCATTTTCTTACAGTACGGAGTCATTTTACTGACGGAGCTAAATATTTTCTTAAAGTACAGAGTCATTTTACTGACGGAACTAAATATTTTCTTACAGTACGGAGTCATTTTACTGACGGAGCTAAATATTTTGTTACAGTACGGAGTCATTTTACTGACGGAGCTAAATATTTTCTTACAGTACTACAGTACAGAGTCATTTTACTGACGGAGCTAAATATTTTTTTTATAGTACGGAGTTGTTTTACTGACGATACTTAATATTTTCTTACAGTAAGGAGTCATTTTACTAAATATTTTTTATTCAAGAGTTAATTATTCTTTGAGATATTTATCAACGTTTCCGATGATAGTGTTAAATATCTGACTCACGTGCAGGCACGTGTTGGTGCCCCGTGCACGACCGTGGCACAGTGTGGACGGGGTGAGTGCTGTCAGGTGCTCAGTGACGTCATGATCGCAAGCAGGAAGAGAGCGGCCGTTTTTAGGCCAGTGACAGTGGCCAATAGGACAGGTGAGTAGGTAATGTAAGACAGTGGCCAATAGGACAGGTGAGTAGGTAATGTAAGACAGTGGCCAATAGGACAGGTGAGTAGGTAATGTAAGACAGTGGCCAATAGGACAGGTGAGTAGGTAATGTAAGACAGTGGCCAATAGGACAGGTGAGTAGGTAATGTAAGACAGACATGGTTGCCGGGTCTAAGACAGACATGGCGGGTCTAAGACAGTCATGGTTGCCAGGTCTAAGGTTGGCGGGTGTAAGACAGACATGGTTGCCGGGTCTAAGACAAGGTTGCCGGGTCTAAGACAGACATGGTTGCCGGGTCTAAGACATGGTTGCCGGGTCTAAGACAGACATGGTTGCCGGGTCTAAGACATGGTTGCCGGGTCTAAGACATGGTTGCCGGGTCTAAGACATGGTTGCCGGGTCTAAGACATGGTTGCCGGGTCTAAGACATGGTTGCCGTGTCTAAGACAGACATGGTTGCCGGGTCTAAGACAGACATGGTTGCCGGGTCTAAGACAGACATGGTTGCCGGGTCTAAGACAGACATGGTTGCCGGGTCTAAGACAGACATGGTTGCCGGGTCTAAGACAGACATGGTTGCCGGGTCTAAGACAGACATGGTTGCCGGGTCTAAGACAGACATGGTTGCCGGGTCTAAGACAGACATGGTTGCCGGGTCTAAGACAGACATGGTTGCCGGGTCTAAGACAGACATGGTTGCCGGGTCTAAGACAGACATGGTTGCCGGGTCTAAGACAGACATGGTTGCCGGGTCTAAGACAGACATGGTTGCCGGGTCTAAGACAGACATGGTTGCCGGGTCTAAGACATGGTTGCCGGGTCTAAGACATACATGGTTGTCGGGTCTAAGGTTGCCGGGTCTAAGACAGACATGGTTGCCGGGTCTAAGACAGACATGGTAGGCGGGATTAAAATTTTATTTTGACGATCTAAAACATTAAAATCAACAACTTTCAAATTTAATCACTCGTACCCAACAAGGATCCAACTCTTGCACGCCAGACAAGAAACATCAACACAATTTTCTTAGGTCACGTGACATCATTTTTCTACAGGTACCTGCCAGAGGTATAAGCGTGAAGGTGACAGGTGTAACAGCTTCGACGCCATGAACGGCTACTGCAGCTGTGAGCCGGGCACCAGCTGCGTGTCCTACCAGCTGCCCATCCTCACGGCTAGACTGGCTCCTAGCGCCCCCCTCCCCACGGCTAGACTGGCTCGCAGCGCCCCCGCCCCCATGCCCGGCTACCGGTGGGCGTCGACCTGCAACCGGACCGTGGCGTGACAAGATCGTGACGCCGACTCCAGAGTCATCAGGTTGGCTAGAGAGTCATGACGCCAACTCCAGTGGAACCTACAGTTTAGAGTTTAGATATATCGTCCTGTTGCACTCCGTGTTTTTAACATTACTTCGTGTAAGAGTGTTAATCGTAAAAAAATGTTAACCTTAAAAATGTAATCCTTAAAAATGTTAGCCTCAAACAAATGTTAGCCTTAAAAAGGTTAGCCTCTAACAAATGTTAGCCTTAAAAATGTTAGCCTCAAACAAATGTTAGCCTTAAAATGTTATCCTTAAAAATGTTAGCCTCAAACAAATGTTAGCCTTAAAAATGTTATCCTTGAAAATGTTAGCCTCAAACAAATGTTAGCCTTAAAAATGTAATCCTTAAAAATGTTAGCCTCTAACAAATGTTAGCGTTAAAAATTAGCTTTTTGTTTTTGGTGTTAGAGCCCACTCCACCATCAGAAAATCTAATTGTAATGTTGAAAAATAAAGTTTAAAAAAGTCATGTCTTGCTTGAGTTGTTTTTTAATCAACTTCGTTATGTGTCGTGCTACAGATTGGGATACATGTGATTATGTGCTACAGATTAGGATACTTGTGATTATGTGTCGTGTTATATAATAGATTGGGATACATGTGATTATGTGTTGTGCTTTAGATTGGTCTAAGTGTACGGGCGGATAAGCACAAGATTGCTAACCCTAAAGTTCCGAGTTCGAACCCTCGTTAGCAGTGTTTCTTCCAGACTTTTTTCTCCGAGATCAAACAAGAGTGGAGCCCCTTAGGCGATATGATTACCAACTCTGCTAATTCCAAGCTGTACAGGTAACGTCCTGTCCCTTGGGTCCAGCAGCTGTGTGGGGTGAGGGGGGGGGGACTGATACATGGGCAACTTCTGATTGGATTTCCAATGCGCAATCATATATACTGCTCCCACCCCCAGAAACTTTAATAACATCCCCTCGGAGTGCTCCACTCCCCCACCCCCCACCCCACACCCTACCCTCTAAGAAAAAATATAAATTATAAATGTTTAGCGTCTAACAAACAAATGAGTCAAATCGTCCAGTCCATGATCAACAATTAAATAAGATTTATTTCACGATGGTCTAGAACCTGAGGCTATGATTGTCAGATGTTGAAGGCCTAGCAGTTCCCACGTCAAGCCGATATAAAGGTAACGATACACTCTCTGTCCTGATATAAGGCTAACGGTACACTCTCTGTCCTGTAAGGCTAACGTTACGGTCCCTGGTCTGTTCATCCTGACATTCGCCATGAACACGATTGTCATCTTCGCTCTCGCCTGTGTCATTGCCAGTACCAGTGTAAGTCATGACTGACATTCCTTTTATGTAGTGCTAAATGTCAATATTGACATATGTTTTATGCAGTGCTAAATGTCAATATTGACATTCGTTTTATGCAGTGTTAAATGTCAATACTGACATTCGTTTTATGTAGCGCTAAATTTCATTACTGACATTCGTGTTATGTAGTGCTAAATGTCAGTATTGACATTCGTTTTATGTGTGCTTATATGTCATTACTGGCATTTGTTTTATTGACTCTAGTCTAAATGTCATATACTGGGTAAATGACCTTAATGACACGTGTTTTAAGCGCCTATCGATCTAGCAATGAACACAAGTTGATCCTTAAAGGACGGACAATTGGCGCTTTCATTAAATCAATTACTAATTTAAAAGCTGGTCGTTTAAAATGTCATAAAAATGTGTTAAAATGTTTTCGATTAAAATTACTGATTTTTACAAATTAATGTAATGGGGTGGGGGTGGGGTGGAGGTGAGGTGGAGGGGGGGGGGGGGGCGTAATTTATGTCAAACAGCTCGCAAAAAAAAAAACATTAAAGAGAAGCGCAGACAACTCCGTTAAACGTTTTAACATTTTATTTGCTGTTTAATCTCCCCTGCACAGAACGAAAAAACATTCGCGTTATATCGGCAATGAATAGTTAATTAACAATATATAATTAATTTAACACGTGTAATTTAAGATACGTAATTAAGTAATTAGTTAAACATATCTAATTAGTTCAGCACATCAATGACTAATGCAACATTTGAATCTAGGCTCTGGTTGGTCAAACCTGTACCAGCAATGACCAGTGTGACGCAGGAGAATGTTGTCAGATCCTCAGTCTCTTCATGATCGCCAGCAGACGTCAACTTGATGCCTTCATGCTGCCACAGAACCCAACCAGTGGTAAGTCTGATACACACGACAGTAAGTTTGATACACACGACAGACTGACGGTAAAGAATCATTGACTCAAGCATTTTCTCTGAACGTTTGTCTAATAAACTTCGGCTGCATTCATAGCCTATTCCAATTTTCTCTTCAGTTTTCATGAAATTATTTGATTGGCTGATTGGCCTACTAAAACACAATTCCTTTCTGTAGTCATAGTTACATGACGTAATGAATCAGATACTTAAAGTTGGTCGCTTAAAAAAAGCAGTGTACAATTCCCGAATATAACCCCTGTATTTGCTGTCAATGAACGAATTAAGATAAGAATTAAAAGATAAAAGTTTTGTCACGATAACGATTTAGGACCATTGTTTAAAATTTTTTACTGTAATAGAATTTAAGACAGATAGAATATTGACAAATCCACCAATCATATGCGAACTAAACAAAAGTTTCTTACATTATGTACGTGTAGCATTTATCAGGGCAGGAAATGGAACGTTCCAGAAAGAATATTTGTATGCAGTAGATTAAGTCCTAGTCAAACAAAAAAAAGTAGTTTCAATTAAAATTTGGTTCTTGAATTAAGCAAAAAATCAAAATTCATCTGTGGTTTTGACAATTTCATAGAGTACCGCCTGATCTTCAAAACGATACTCCAAAATGTTGGGACATGTTTATACTGCTGAGCTTCGCGTTATTGAGTTGGCTAAAGTTTCTGCTATACAATGTTTGACTTACAAAACAAAAACGGAATTATTTTTGACGGAAATTACTGAACACCGTAACATTTTGATTGATACAACTACAATGTCAATATGTTTTCTGCCGAATGACCATCGCGATATTTTAGACTGCTACAACTACCACTGAAATATTTTTGACTGCTGCAACTACCATTCAACTATTTTCGACTGCTACAACTACCATTCAACTATTTTCGACTGCTACAACTACCATTCAACTATTTTTGACTGCTACAACTACCATTCAACTATTTTTGACTGCTACAACTACCATTCAACTATTTTTTTCCCCAGGCACCTGCCAGAAGTACAAGCTGGAGGGCGACAGCTGCAGCACATTCGAGAAGATGAACGGCTACTGCAGCTGTGAGCCTGGTACCACGTGTCACATGTACGAGGTGCCCCTCCCCACAGACACCCCCACCTCCAGGATGATCGTGGCCCCACGACCCGGGTACCAGTGGGTCTCCAAGTGTGAGAAACCCGTAGCTTAAGCTCGAACTTTGACCTAAACTCTGACCTAAGGGAAAGTTTACGTACATAAATATTTCTTTGGTCTATTGTATAACCATTGTCAAATCTATAAGTAAAAATAAACCGGGAGTGATCTCCCCTAAACTTTCTCGAAAATTTCTATGTAACACTACGGGGATGGCAACTTAAGATATAGATACGATTTTTAATCATTTATTAAATACTTAAACTTCTTAATACAATAGAATCTCGCAGAAAAAAATTGCTCACCACGTGAAGAGCAAAAATGTTTGTATAATAATGCAGAATATTAGTACTTTATAAATTCAGATGCGTTTTTTGAGAAGTCGCAAAAAGGGTATAGTACTACTTATTGTAAACGAAAATTACTCAAAATTTGACAGAAGGTAGATAAGTTTGTGAAATTTCGTTTATCTATCTGAAATAGTACTAAATTTTTAGGCTTTTGAAAAACCAAAATTAGAATAAGTTCCACTTCCGGTTACCGGAAATTGCTGAAAAGTTGATACAGAACTACAAATTTGACAGTTATTATGTATGAAATTTCATCAACCTAGCTGTAACGGTACTCAAGTTATCGTATTCACTGACACACATCCATACAGACACACAAACACACAGACATACGGATAAAATGGCAAAACTATGTCTTTCTGACTCAGGGAGGTGTAAAACGTCGATATTTGTAAAAATCTCGATTTCGATATTTTGCACGATTACGATACTTCCTCTATACTTTGTATACGAGAAAGTAACAATTAATAAATGATCGTTTTCTTGTTGTAAGATGAAATAAATACCTTAGTGAGGTGATCCAATTCAACCTGTATCAAGAAAATAACGCTATACAATCGAAACGAATTGACACTTGGGAGTTGTGTTAAAGCTACATTTAACAGTCAATAAACAACAATTTTTCTACTTGATCTTCTATTTAAAAGTATGAACAAGTGTCCTGAGATTGTGTTACATCATTGATTGGGTGCCCTGCGATTGTTACATCATTGATTGGGTGCCCTGCGGTTGTTACATCATTGATTGGGTGCAGTGAGATTGTAACATCATTGATTGGATGCCGTGTCCACTGTATGCCCCGTGAAGGCCGCGGTTAGTCCATAAATTGGACGCGCCACTTAACGGACGAAGTTGACCAATCAAAGACGAGCTTGCTGCCGTACACGGAAACTTCAAGACGAACTTGGTCCGGTCAGTTCGAGCCTTGTCTGAGGACGGCTCGCTCGCCGGTTTAAAGACGAGCCTCAGCGTCGAACGACGAATGTGTCTGGTCGACTAAATACGAGCCACTGACCCTATAGACCCCACCCCCCACATCGACCTCTGTCCACCAAGTAAATAAAACATGGCGGATGTTTACAAGAAACATTATGTCATGAATGTCTATTGGGAGCAGTGACGTTCTCATCCATCTAATCAGAGAATTAATCATTAGAGAGACCAGGATTAATTCCATGGTGGGGAGCAAGATTGATTGTTAGGCTTTTTAATGTAAGCAGCATTAATCCATGTGATGTTTGTTATGTGGCCACTTGGGGATACATGGATATCTACACACATACATACACACATACATACATCATATAAACACACGCACGCACAACCAATGATACAGGACAAATGAACTCAGACAAAATATCTCAGGACAAAAAAAATCAGGACAAAATATATCACGGCAAATACCTATATTATAAAAGGGGGATTTGTTTTTAAAATAACGAGAAAAATGCATAGGTTTGCCGTCTAACAATAAACTTTAAAAAATTGTATTTAATCGTGTAATATACGAAGGTTAAAAATGATATACAGAGTATGTGGGCTTGCCGAACATAGTCAATTTTACCCCATCTGATGACAAAGTTTATGTAAACAAGATCAGTCATTGAAGAGATAATTTGTTCATTGTGTGCGTGTAATACAAACATTGATGTAACGTTAGGATACACATGAACAAATCAGATTAAAAACAATTCACACGTTTTCAACATTAATTTGGTATAATTCTACTTCCACTATTTTATTCTTCGTAAAAATTATCAATATAGTGTCAGCTTTTTTTTCTTCTATATTTTACATTTTAAAATAAAGCACTACTAAATTAATTAGTGTGTTGATGATTTTTTTATGTTTTAACTAATTTAATTTTTTGTATACTTTACAATTATAATATGTTTTAAAAAAGTAAATAAAACCATATGACAATCATTTAAAAATTTCATTTCGACGTTATGGGCATGTTTGAGTTGATTGAACTATAAGTGTAAAACACTTTGTAGCGGGAAAACGTTATAATCGTCTTTATGTGCCAGTATTTTGTGTAGTTGAATTTCCTCTTGAAAGTTTTAATGATCGAAATACAAATCCAGTGGAAATTTTAAAAAGCTGAACACAAAACAACAAATAAGTGAAGTTGACCAGTTCATTTTGAGCAGTCAACGTTTGAATAGAATTAATTTCACGATGGTCTAGAATCAGTGATTGTCAGTTGGTCTAGAAGCAATCAGTCACCTGAGGCTATGATTGTCAGATGTTGAAGGCCCAGCAGTTCCCACGTCAAGCTGATATAAGGCTAACGGAACACTCTCTGGCCTGATATAAGGCTAACGGAACACTCTCTGACTTATTCGCCCTGACATTCGCCATGAACACGATTGTCATCTTCGCTCTCGCCTGCGTCATTGCCAGTACCAGTGTAAGTTATGACTGACATTCGTTTTATGTAGTGCTAAATGTCAATACTGACATTTGTTTTATGTCGAAGCTAAATTGAGTAAACTTTTCAAATTTCCCAAGCGACATTTGCTTTAAGCACCTATCCATCTAGTATACAATAAAAACTAATTCTTAAAGGACGGACAGCTGGAAGTTTGATCAAATCCATTATTAATTTTAACGCAAGTCGCTTAAACATTTATCTTAGGCCAATACGCTGTATTCTAAGTCAATCAAAATGTTCAGACAACTGCGTTTAAAAGTTTCAACATTTTATTTGTTGTTATAACCTCCCCTGGATCAAACGAAAAAAATGTTCATGTCTCATGGGCAGTGATTAATTCATTAGAACATTTAATAAATTATTCACATATAATTAATTACACGTTGAATTAGTTAAAGATACCTAATGAGTTCAGCACATCAATGACTAATGTACCTAATTAATTCATCACATCAATGACTAATGTACCTAATTAGTTCAGCAAATCAATGACTAATGTATCTAATTAATTCATCACATCAATTACTAATGTACCTAATTAGTTCAGCACCTAAATGACTAATGTACCTAATTAGTTCATCAATGACTAATGTACCTAATTAGTTCAGCACATCAATGACTAATGTACCTAATTAGTTCAGCAAATCAATGACTAATGTACCTAATTAGTTCATCAATGACTAATGTAACATTTGAATCAAGGCTCTGGTTGGTGAAACCTGTACCAGAGATGACCAGTGTGACGCAGGAGAATGTTGTCAGATCCTCAGTCTCTTCATGATCGCCAGCAGACGTCAACTTGAGGCCATCAACATGCTACAGAGCCCAACCAGTGGTAAGTCTGATACACACGACAGTAAGTCTGATACGACAGACTAATGGTAAGGCTGATACACACGACAGTAAGTCTGATATACACGACAGTAAGTCTGATACACACGACAGTAAGTCTGATACACACGACAGTAAGTCTGATACACACGACAGTAAGTCTGATACACACGACAGTAAGTCTGATACACACGACAGTAAGTCTGATACACACGACAGTAAGTCTGATACACACGACAGTAAGTCTGATACACACGACAGACGAGCAGTAGGTCTGATACACACGACAGACTAGCAGTAAGTCTGCTCCACTCCACATTTGTGGCCTAATATATCCAATACCTTTTGTAACATTTTCATTCCATTTTTTTTGGATGGCCTTTCTAAAACAGAATCCGTGTCTCGTGTTAAATTACTTGGCGTAATTTTTTTTTAAAAATGTTTGTTTTTGTGGCATACTGAATCAGATACAGAAGTAGGTCACTAAAAATAGCCGCACGTAATTCCCGAATTTGAACCGGTGTTTATGAACTGGTTTAGATAAGAATTAAAAGATAATAAAATACTTAAAAAAAACTTAAAAAAAAAACACGTTTTTCTTGTGGACTAAAAAGTAGAAAATAACTATTTACATACATTTGATGACAAAAAACGTGGGTACGTTCACCATCAAATTTCCCGACCCATCTGCCCGACCCACGTTTTTTGTCATCAAATGTATGTAAATAGTTATTTTCTACTTTTTAGTCCACAAGAAAAACGTGTTTTTTTTTAAAAGTTTTTTTTAAGTATTTTATTTTCTCCTTTTTAGTCCGTTGCTACACATGAAAAACGTGGTTTTTAAAAAAGTTTTTTATATAGTTTATTTTCTACTTTATCTAATGACTTGATTAAGTATGAATTGACTAAGTGTTTATAAATACACGGACTAAAAAAATCTTGAGCGACCAGGATTCGAACCTGGGTTGTCGCGGCCACAACGCGAAGTACTAACCACTATACGATCACGGCCAGCGCGCTCACATCGATTGGGGCCGAAGTAACTGTGTCAATAAGCCTCCAGTCTTGTCGGTATCTTTAGAAATCATGTCCTCAATTTTATGGTCCTTGGGGCGTAATTAAATTAAGCTAATTACGGTCTCTAATTGCTAGTTTTTATGATTGCATCTGAAATTGTTAGGCGAAAGTAACCTGCATGCCAAATTTCAGATCTATAGAGCAATCAGAAGTGGGCTAATTTTCGATGTCAATTTTAACAACAAACACACAAACGCGAAGCTGAGTTAATAAAAACGTGTTAAAAACGTGTTAATAAAATACTTAAAAAAAACTTTTTAAAAAACCACGTTTTTCTTGTGGACTAAAAAGTAGAAAATAAATTTTCATACATTTGATGACAAAAAACGTGGGTACGTTCACCATCAAATTTCCCGACCCATCTGCCCGACCCACGTTTTTTGTCATCAAATGTATGAAAATTTATTTTCTACTTTTTAGTCCACAAGAAAAACGTGGTTTTTTAAAAAGTTTTTTTTAAGTATTTTATTTTCTCCTTTTTAGTCCGTTGCTACACATGAAAAACGTGGTTTTTAAAAAGTTTTTTATATAGTTTATTTTCTACTTTATCTAATCACTTGATTAAGTATGACTTGACTAAGTGTTTTTAAATACACGGACTAAAAAAATCTTGAGCGACCGATACGCTTTAAAGAGAGAAAGGGTGTAATTTACGTTGCTGGCGTGGAGATCTACTCACGAATCACGTGATCAAATCTCCCATAAACAAACAAATAAACGCGAAGCTGAGTTAAGGAAAAACGTGTTTATGTGTATTTTAGCATGCCCAGCGTACCAACCGTGTCACCGTTAACAATGTGTTATCGTGTCCGTTCTCCTTTTTAGTCCGTTGCTACACATAAAAAAACGTGGTTTTTTAAAAAGTTTTTTTTAAGTATTTTATTTTCTCCTTTTTAGTCCGTTGCTACACATGAAAAACGTGGTTTTTAAAAAAGTGTTTATAAATACACGGACTAAAAATCTTGAGCGACCAGGATTCGAACCTGGGTTGTCGCGGCCACAACGCGAAGTACTAACCACTATACGATCACGGCCAGCGCGCTCACATCGATTGGGGCCGAAGTAACTGTGTCAATAAGGCTCCAGTCTTGTCGGTATCTTTAGAAATCATGTCCTCAATTTTATGGTCCTTGGGGCGTAATTAAATTAAGCTAATTACGGTCTCTAATTGCTAGTTTTTATGATTGCATCTGAAATTGTTAGGCGAAAGTAGCATGCATGCCAAATTTCAGGTCTCTAGAGCAATCAGAAGTGGGCTAATTTTCGATGTCAATTTTAACAACAAACAAATCCACACATCCACAAACGCGAAGCTGAGTTAAGAAAAACGTGTTAAAAAGGCGCGTCAAGATAAAAATGGAGGTCATGTTACATCAGTTTGATTTGGAAAGATAGACTAATGACAGTCCTACCAAACTAAAGTAATTTATCTTACATTGTGTAAAAAAAAAAACAATATCAATCACCTGCTCTGGTATCTCAGTCCCACATAGTAAAACCTGACTAACGATACACGGTATTTTCAAGAGTTGGGGCAAACATGGTTGTTTTTACAAGCTTTTATTTATTTACAGCTGTACATTGTGTTTTTGACTACGAGAACTTCCACTGAAATATTTTTGACTGCTAAAATTTCCACTAAAATATTTTTGACTGCTGAAACTGCCACTGAAATATTTTTGACTGCTGAAACTGCCACTAAAATATTTTTCACTGCTGAAAATACAATTAAAATATTTTCAACTACTAAAACTGCTACTGAAATATTTTTGACTGCTGAAACTGCTACTAAGATATTTTTGACTGCTAACACTGCCACTAAATATTTTTGACTGCTGAAACTAGAATTAATATATGTTTGACTGCTACAACTGCCACTGAAATATTTTTGACTGCTAAAACTGCCACTGAAATATTTTTGACTGCTGCGACTGTTGTCCCCAGGCACTTGCCAGAAGTACCAGCTGGAGGGCGACAGCTGCAGCACATTCGAGAAGATGAACGGCTACTGCAGCTGTGAGCCGGGCACTGAATGTCACATGACCGAGGTCCCCCTCCCCACAGACACCCCCACCTCCAAGATGATCATCATGCTACCTCCAAGACCCGGGTACCAGTGGGTCTCCAAGTGTGAGAAACCCGCAGCTTAAGTCTTAAGCTTGAGCTTAAACCCTCACCTAAACTCTGACCACAGGGAAATTAAAACTTACATGAATAATTTTTGGGTCCTTTGTGTATCGAATGTCAAATGTAAAGATAAAAACAACAAACTAACGATCGTTCTTGTGTTGTACTTGACGTGAGTGAATCTTGATCTAGTCCCACCAAAACAAAACTTTATGAAATGAGCATGAATTGACCCATGGGGATGCGATGAAGGTACATTTAACAGACATTAAACAACAACCTTTCTTCTTGATCTTCGATTAACAAGTAAGAACAGATTGCCTAAGAGTGGGTTACATTATTGATTGGGTGTTGGGTCCAGCACCTAGATGGGGCTCTCATGTTCGACAAGTTTTATTCAGAAATTGGACACGTCTTGCTACTAAACGGACGAACCTTGCCAATAAGACGACGAACCATGCCACTGAAGGAGCAGCTCGCCACCTAGAACGAACCAACTGTGAATTGCCTGACCAACTTGGTCTAGTTCGCCATGGACTTGACTGTTACAAATCTGGCTCGTCCATCCGCTTAAAGACGAGACTCGCAGACAAGCGACGAGCCTCGTAAGTTGACGAACCTCGTCATCACAACTCTAGCCAGTGACGTTGTGCAATCCTTACATCACCCCCCACACCACCCCCCTCCACCCAGCAACCGTATGGCAGGAAAGAAAACATGGCGGATGTTTACAAGAAGCATCGTGTGATGAATGTATGTTGGGCGCGCTAAAGATCCCGTCAATCTAATCAGATAATTAATCATTAGACCTGGATTAATTTCCTGGCAGGCAGCAACATTAATTCCATATGTTGACGGGTGGCTGTTTGTTATGTGGTCCCGCCCGTGGGGATACATGCATATCTACACATGTGCATACATACATTATATAAACATATATATATATATATATATATATATATATATATATATATATATGTGTGTTTGTGTGTATATCTATCTTTATTTCATATGTGTATATATATATATATATATATATATATATATATATATATATATATGCACATGTGTAGATATGCATGTATTCCTACGGATATCTGATGGGCTATCTTGGCGAAAATCATGTAGTAAATAGCCACAGAGCCAGGTTCTAAGATCAACAACAACAAAAATGTACCCATACGTAAAACCCCACTGAACAATTCCAAACCAAGACTTCCAGTGGGCAGTGAGCGTCCAGCAGAGAAGTGACGAGGTGAAGGTTTTGGGCGACGTAATGTAAACAAACATCCCACAGAATTCCCTCCGGACATCCGGAGTTCGCATCAACAGATTCAAGCACATTTTTTTCTGGCAACTTTTGGCTCCGGGTTTTTAGTGTTGTCTTTATTTACTTAGGTGATTCTGTCCTCAGTCAGCCCGGGGGGGGGGGGGGGGGTCGATTGTAGTTCACTGGGTAAGGAAGACCATGGGCAGACAAAGTTGTTATTGTAGAAACAAATATCTGACCGACAAGACAATGGCTTTCAGTTTGTTGTTCCAGGTTTTCAAGTCATTTTATTTTAGTCATTTTATTTTAGTCATTTTATTTTAGTTATTTTTTTAGTCATTTTATTTTAGTCATTTTATTTTAGTCATTTTATTTTAGTCATTTTATTTTAGTCATTTTATTTTAGTCATGTTATTTTAGTCATGTTATTTTAGTCATGTTATTTTAGTCATTTTATTTTAGTCATTTTACTTTAGTCATTTTACTTTAGTCATTTTATTTTAGTTATTTTTTTAGTCATGTTATTTTAGTCATTTTATTTTAGTCATTTTATTTTAGTCATTTTATTTTAGTCATTTTATTTTAGTCATTTTATTTTAGTCATTTTATTTTGCGGCAAAATTTCAGAGAACGTGACAGCCCGTTTAAATAAAAATTATTTAAAATTGGACAAACGAACTTCAACACACGAAAAAATATAGTGTGATCAAATGTGTCGACAGCTTAGGTTAGGGATTATCTACAATCATATCAATTGTTCCAAGTGAAATCTAACGCTTTTGTTTTACAGCTAGAAAACCAAAAACCAAAAACAAAATCAACTAAAGCTTTAGTTTGAGGTGTTCCATTTGGCTAGCTATGACGTATGACAACAATCAATCGATATTCACGTGATTTTTTTCCCACCAGAAACCAGAAGTCTAGAATTTTGTTGTCCGTCACTGAGTGAGGTGTTTACACCATTTTAGTGAGCTCAAGCATTTCAACTACAACTTTTAAAGGTCTTCAATGTTAATTGGACGTTACATACAGAAAGGTGAAATAATCGTACAATAGGTCAGATACCATGTTAGTCACGTGACAAAAAGTAGGTCGCAAGATAACGAGTAGGTCATAAGACAACAAGTTAAGTTCACATTAATAAGTAGGTCACATGACAGAATGTATGCCATACGACAACAAGTAGGTCACACGCAATAAAAGGTGCACGTTAATAAGTAGGGCACATGACGGCAAGTAAGCCACATGACAACAATTAGGACACATGAGAATATTTAGGTCACGTGGCAACAAGTAGGTCACGTGACAACAAATAGGTCACATGTTTCTACTCACAGCTCTCGATCTCTACCGTACACTCCTGGTGGTCGAGCGGGTAGTTGTGTAGGTCCATCATACAGGCCAGTGTCGTGGTGAACCTGTGGGGGGTTAAATAGAGGGTTAAACATGGGGGTTAAACATGGGGGTTAAACTATCACATTTGGCAAACAGGGGTATTATTTTATATATATATATATATATATATATATATATATATATATATATATATATATATATATATATATATATATATATATATATATATATATATATATATATATATATATATATATACACGCAAGTTGATGTAAGTGTCGAACATGAAATATAGAGAACTTTGATCTGATCTACTCCGTCGAGTTAGGAGCCATCAAGGAACATTAAGGAACACTTCCCAGTCAACTGAGGCAAGACGCTGTTTCTCCCACACGTTAATGGGGCGTCACGTGGTTTTCAAGGGGGGGGGGGGTGAAAGGGCGTTACGCACGATAGAGCACAGCTCACATCCCTTCCTTACATCCAGACCCCACCCTACCCCAACCTTATCCCGCCCCTACCCCAACTCTATCCGGACCCTACCACAACCGAACGCCCCAACTCTGCAACGCTTAGACCCCAATGTCTCCGAATGTTCCAATTTAGGTCGAAAGTTTTTTGACATAATTGGTCAATTGTGTCAAATAGACCAAAAAAATTTGGTCAAAACCTTGTGTGAAATAAACCAAAAATATGCTCAAAACCGTGTGTCAAATAGACCAAAGCAACTTGAGAAAAAGAGCCAACTCAGCTGAAATGAGTTCTCAGCGGCAGCAAGTGGTCAAGCGAAAGTAGGAATTCAAAAGCCAGCACTAGATCTAAGTACAGTCTTACGCAAGTAATTTAACCCTATTGTCCCGATCTTTATCAAATCCCAATCTTTTAGCATAATCTTGTCTTTTAGGCTGATCTCATTTTTATTTGCCATACATTTGTTTTCTAAGTTTCTATTTTATATTTTTTATGAAGAAATTTTGTTATCAAGGACATGGAGAGGAGGAAGGGGGTGGGGTGGCTAGACATTATTATCATAATTAAATTAATTACCACGCAAATGTCGCGTTGTTCTCTTCCTATGTAAAAAATTTCATCCGAAAAGTTTTTCTAGCTCAAAATATTTGTAGCCTCTTGTGGGTCCGCACGACGGCTGAGTGCAGCAAATAAACGCAATCGGTTGTTGATATTTTTAGAGGCGAATTGAAAAACAAAACAAAACAAAAATGATTCGTGGAAAATTTTAAGGAATAAAACGCTTTAGAAAAAACGAAGATGCGTTTATTGCATGTTCCCACGACGCTCATGCGGAAGTAGTGTGATTACTGGATATCTTTAATTAATTCTAGAATTGAGAATAATTTTTGTTGTATTAAAATAATGATATTAACGCTATGAAAATTTAACATTTGAATGGACGTTATTTTTCCTATAATCAATTACAGGCCAAGACCGTCATTGAAAAGAATAAATTAGGAAAGCATAGGCTAATAATTTACACCCTCTACCATCATAACACCCTCAACCCCCCAGACACCCACTATTACCCACTACCACCTAGATACCGTACCGTGTACCACCCAGACACCATCTCCCACCCAGACACCATCTACCACCCAGACACCATCTACCACCCAGACACCATCTACCACCCAGACACCATCTACCACCCAGACACCATCTACCACCCAGACACCATCTACCACCCAGACACCCTCTACCACCCACACACCCTCTACCACCACCAGTTAATCAAACAACCACGTTACCAACTTCCCTTCGAGTCCCTATCACTGTATGTGTTTCCAGAACATTCTCTCAGCCGTGTTCAATATTCCCAGCAAACATTCTTTTAACCGCTAGCAGAGCCAGCCTTTAGCTTATGCCACGTTGACTATGTCCCCCCCCCATCTCACAATCACTGACTTGCCCCCCCCCTCCATCCCTAGGGTAGTTCCAGACCCCCTCCACCCCTCCCAGCTTCTGGCATTCAACGTTTTGAAAGCGGCGTGTTGACAAGGACAACAAACTGGTAATGAGTCCACTCAAGTTAACCCACACCTCCCCACACCTCCCCACACCTCCCCACACCTCCCCACACCTCCCCACACCTCCCCACACCTCCCCACACCTCCCCACACCTCCCCACACCTCCCCACACCCAGTGAAATCCCACCTCCCTGCCCCATGCCTCCCAATCTCATGGCTCCCAAGAGACTGCTACCCCCTATCCAGAATATCACCCCCCTCCGCCTTATAGGAGAAAAATCCAAGTCCATTTGAGATGGTTGTTTGAAGCAGTTGTCGAAGAAATGGCACATTACTCCAGCAGACATGAAGTAGTCAGCAGAAATGTACACCAACAAATGACGTCACATTCATTAACTATCTCTACGTCACGAAAATGACCCCCCCCCCTCACCCACACTATCGGAGTTGATCGCGTGGACTATCCTCACTATAAAAAAAAAACTTTACGGTCATGAAAGCTACCATTTAATCGCGTAGTGTGCCAGATTTCAGACGGAATATTGTCTAGTCTGCCATCTCTAGGCACAGGTCCCCCCCCCCCTCTACAGCAGCTAACTGCACTTTAAAAACTCACAGAAAGATTATTACAAAAACCCGCCCCTGCCAATTATAATCAAAACCTCTTCTTTATTCCGAATCAAGGGTTTGATTGACGTGAGAGGGGAGGGGCATTCCGACAATGAAGAGATAGGAGGGTAAAAATAACATAGCGTGCCATTTATTGATTTTTTTTGGTGCCATCAGAATAAAAAATCAAAATACATTCTCAAATTTTAACGAGTTTAGATGGCTGCTGTTATTTCAAGTAAAACCTTCATTAGATCAGCGCTTTTTTTTTTGAAGGTGGTGGGGGGGGGGGGGGTGGAAGGTGCGTCTTGATTGAATTAAAGGGCACGTTAGTGATTAATTAGACCAAGGTTACTGCAATTAAGGATTTGCTTATCTCTTCCATTATGGCCATGGGGGGGGGGGTATCGTGAGGGGAGGGCCAGTATGATGATGGGAGGGGGGGTGGGGCAGACACAAAAGTGGAGTAAGCCTGGAGCGAGTCAATGGAAGAGGAAAGAGAAGTGTCTTTATAGGGATTGAATCAAGGATTAGAAGTGATTCTCATATGTGAAGTAGGGAAACACAGGGGGTGAGTGTGTTGCGACAAGGGGGTGGCGCGCGATGGGGGGAACGACAAGGGCGGGGGTGGGGTGACAATGGGGGTATTTGACAAGGGCAGGGATGGGGTAACATTGTTGGGGGGGGGGGCAAGGGGCTTGAGTGGAAGAAAACAAAGCTAACGCTACAAGAAATTTTTTTTTAAAAGTAAACAAAACATTCAAGTTGGAGCTACATTGTTTACACTAAAATATCCAGCGCTCAAGACTTTGACTGGTGCCTACAGCAAGCCACAGATCGGAAGGTTTGAACTGACCTCATGCCGTACACCAGCGAACCGTCGCCATTGAGCCGGACCATTTTGTTTTTCTCCGTGATGTCGTGCAGGAAGGAGTTCTTGTCGTTGGCCAGGAAGGTGTCGGGCACCCAGATCTTCTCGGCGAAGGCCCCGGTCAAGGTCATGGAGGTCACGCTCCTGTTGTGTCCAAGGTCCAGCGATTGGTTGAAGATGAACTGGAGCCTCTCGTCTCGCCAGTACTGGTTCAGGTACATCGTGATGGTGTAGTCCTGGGGAGAAAGGTCAAGGGTCACAATGTAATCCTGGGGAGGAAGGTCAAGGGTTACAATGTAATCCTAGGCAGGAATGTCAAGGGTTACAAGGTTATCCTGGGGAGAAAGGTCAAGGGTTACAATGTAATCCTGGGGAGAAAGGTCAAGGGTTACAATGTTATCCTGGGGAGAAAGGTCAAAGGTTACAATGTTATCCTGGGGAGAAAGGTCAAGGGTTACAATGTAATCATGGGGAGAAAGGTCAAGGGTTACAATGTAGTCCTGGGGAGAAAGGTCAAGGGTTACAATAATCCTGGGGAGAAAGGCCAAGGGTTACAATTTTATTTTTCGGAAGAGTCAATGGCGACAATTTATTCTTATGGAGAAAATGATATTTTTGATTGGGTGCAGTCGGTGGGTGAAGATGGCGAGGGGGGGGGGGAGAGGATATATATATATATATATATATATATATATATATATATATATATATATATATATATATATATATATATATATATATATATATATATATATATATATATATATATATATATATATATATATATATATATATATATAATGTATGCGTATGTGAGTGTACGTGACTTGTATGTACTCATGTTCCAGACCAATAGACACATACGAAAGAGCCCCACTGTGTTAACTGTGAAGGCGGATATCAAATCATGGTTGAATTACCCACATGATCTGCTACAAGGGGACTTAAAAACCATCAAATGCAGATTATCAAGTCACCAACCACATTTTTAAAAAAAAATGGCCATCAGATAAAAAGTTATCAATATTAAAAAAAATGGTTGCCATGACAACTGGAAGTTTGATTCTGTAATGAGGTTTTTGTTGTTGGTTTCGTTCCATGTCAAGGTCACATGTACTTTTCGTGACCTAGTCCAAACGGTCGGTCTAACTTGACCATGTCCAAACGGTCGGTGTAACTTGACCATGTCCAAACGGCCGGTGTAACTTGACCCAGTCCAAACGGTCGGTCTAACTTGACCATGTCCAAACGACCGTTGGACCCTGATCATGTCCAAACGTTGTAAATGAAATGTCAGGTCAGACCATGAAATACCCAACTAGCAGCCCAATATTTTTGACGTTTCAGATTAAAAATCCCGACCTTCACCTTTAACCCCCAAGCGTAAAATCTACACGCCTATTTTTTGTCACACTATAACCTTTGCCCTCTGCCCAAACTGAACATGTTGAAGACGAGTTCCATGCAGAGAGCATGAACTACTGAGCCACCTAGCAGACCGTAGCACGGTTCTGGTTCCAGGACTCAAGCCTAGCTCTGGTCAAGTCTGCAGCCAATGGAAACGTCGGGCCAGAAAATCTAGATCAGGTTACCCGGCGCGACCAGAGAATAATGATCTGTTTGCCGGTACGTCGATGTGGACGGGCCCACTCAGACTGAGGGTGGGGGTGCCAGAAATGGAACCCCCTGCCGTGATTTTGTTCAGGACGGGACACGACAAGTGGAGAGTCTATCAGAGACCATGTGTCATGATGGAATTTACATGTTCGGCTCGCAGACTTACACGGTTGTCGCCCTTGTCTTCAAAGAAAATCTTTTATCCTTTGGTGTCCCGAGTTACATCCTCTTTGATTATCTACCCCGTGGTTTCTTGAATGTTTTTGTGGAGATAAAATTCTTTATGCTTTTTCAAACATTGGATATGACAAAAACCTTAAGTATCTTTAGTGCAAAACACGTTGTTTTATATAAAGCTTGTTAATTTTTATTATATTAAAGTAGAGATATATTTTCGTAGAATTCACACGTTTCTCTGACCACTGTGTGTTCAGTTCTATGCCCAGCCGTCTTTCTTAAACTTAACGTGGGTCAGGTACCTATCAGAGCTGGGTAGACAGAGACGTTCTGCATACACGGGATCAGACCCAGAGACCCCCGGGTTAGTTTTCCAGCCCTTGTACATTTTTTCTGCTCGATATTTCGATTTAGTTAATGTAAGATTTATCTCAACATCATCCATGTAACCTGGATAGGCAGTTCAGCCTCGTCCGCCTGATTATTTGTGCGTGTTAAACAAGAATGATAAGTTAATCATGCAGATTTGGCCTCGCTCGATGAGAAATCCTGGCCAAACGAGACCAAGTTTCAGCCCCAAAACGGGCGTGTTAACTGGCATATAGTTTGTGATGAAGGTCAGGGTCCGGTTATGTACCGGACACAAGGTAAGCGTGTAGATTTGTTGGTCGTCTGCTGATTGATGATGTTGGTGACCGCGGGTCGGGGAGTGGGGGAGGGGAGGTGAGGGGGGGTGGCATTACAAGAAAATAGAAGGCTGACATACGCCAGTGTCTTACTAAAACTTTGGGGGCACTGTGACGTCATCGCATTTAGCCTACCCTACAGTCCGTCGTCTGCGTTCCTCGACCTGTTTCCGTGATGCGCGCGCATCTCTTTGTTAAAAAAAAGAATGGGGGGGGGGACGACTTAAAGGAATGTTCTGGAGTTTTTGAAAAGACGGTTTTAGTATGCCCCCAAGAGAAATAGCTAGGACCTTTTTTTTTTAAACAGGAAAATGAAATTTTGTTTTTGACAATCAGCCAAAATGATGCGTCGGTTCAATGTCGCGAGGGATGGGGTGGGTCTGTTGTGTCATTTATGACATTTGTGACATTCCAGTCAGACTAGTGCTCAGAGGTCAAAACCAGCAGAACATCTGACAGACATTTGACAGACATTTGACAGATATTTGACAGACAGACATCTGACAGACATTTGACAGACAGACATCTGACAGACATTTGAGAGACATCTGAAGGAAGTCTGCCAGACATTTCAGAGACAGACATCTGAGAGACATCTGACAGACACGTGACAGACATCAGACAAACTATCCGTATGTTCCAACACAGACTACCAGATCAGTCGTCCATGGTGTGTGTGGGTGTGTGTGGGTGTGTGTGTGTGTGTGTGTATGGGTGTAGGGTGTGTGGGTGTCTGTGTGTGTAAGGGGTGAGTGTGGGTGTGTGTGTGAGGGGGTGTAAAGTTTTTTGTCTTCTAATCTTTAAAACCACCAATAGTAAACCGAACGTTCCAGAACGTCACAGCTAGATCACGTGTCGCCCGTATTCAGTCTATGATCTACATCAACACAGCTAGATCACGTGTCGCCCGTATTCAGTCTATGATCTACATCAACACAGCTAGATCACGTGTCGACCGTATTCAGTCTATGATCTACATCAACACAGCTAGATCACGTGTCGCCCGTATTCAGTCTATGATCTACATCAACACAGCTAGATCACGTGTCGCCCGTATTCAGTCTATGATCTACATCAACACAGCTAGATCACGTGTCGCCCGTATTCAGTCTATGATCTACATCAAGCAGAACACGACCCCCACCATCGACCGGCAAACTTTCATAACTTCCGGTTATGGTTTGATTAAAAGACATTGTTTCCTCCGGTCACGTGACTGAATAGATCGCCCTCAAGTTGGGGCAAACACCCCCTCCCCGCCCCGACTTGCGAGGGTTGCCCCACACTGTTTACACTGGGGTGCGGCCCGCCCCACCCCCTACCCCACGTGACTGATAGTGTTGTTCTAGACGCCGTCGATAGGTCGTCTGAAGTCAGCCATGTGTGGTCCGGCTTCGTGTTGCTTTACAATTTAGCCGGAGAACCGGATCCGTGAAGTTGCCGGCACGCTAATATTTACCGTACCAGCGACAAGACGCCCATTTGAAGATGATATATCGAGCGAGAGGCGTTCATATTGGGTGTTGGTTCAGCTAAAAGGTGAATCTGATACTTGAGTATCATCTTTAGCTTTTGGTCAAAAGGGAGTTTAAACTCTAGCTCTTTCATCCCACAAGGGGGTGCGTGGTTTCGGTGCTGAGGGTTTATGTGACGTGGGAGAAAATGCAATATACACATCCAGTCTCATACGAGGGGTGGGGTCCAGTTTCACACGAGGGGTGGGGTCCCGTCTCACACGAGGGGTGGGGTCCCGTCTCACGAGGGGTGGGGTCGAATCATCACGAGATAAAGTAATTGTTCTTCCCTGGCTAGATGGTCTAGGGCAGTGGTTCCCAACCTTTTTCGAGTGGCGACCCCCTTTTATAAATAGTTAGTGACCCGCGACCCCCATAAAATTAAAAAGCCGAATTTAGTATGGAAAGTAATAAGCACTAAAATAAGATTTTCTAGAAGACTTTCAATATGAACTACTCTTGATAACTGTTTTAATACGATGTGTAAAATTGCATGCTATTTACTAAACATTCACTGTTAAGTTTTTGTTAACGCCAACCTATGTCATTATCAACATTCAATTTACTTCTTAATTTTGTTTTTAATCAAAGAATAGTGTTGAAAGGCTATTCTCGAAAAGTCGATCAATTTTACTTTTCGGTATGAATGGTGAATAATACACCAAAATTGTGTGAGCAGTTTTTCATCTTAGGCGGAATCATTCTGCAAATCAAAGAATTCACCTTGTAATTCATCGGGAATGCTGGCAAAATCAAGGGAAGTAGAGAATGGGTATTGCGTCAATGCACGATTCTTCTTCTTTCAGCTCAGAGAAATAGCGCCGCAGTTCGTTTTCAAGAGATTCAAGATGCCCAGAAATGTCTTCTTTCAAAATTTTAATTATCTCACAATTAGATTCATCTACCACACTGCAGAGTTTCTCAAATGTACAACATTTCCAAGATTTATTTTCTTCGCCAATTTTGCAGATTTGATAAAAATGCCCCGAGATTATTATGGAAAGTAATAATCCTCGTTCATTTTCCCTGAAGCTTCAGGTTAAGCTTACGTTGATGTTCGAATATATCTGCTAGGTATGATACTCTCTCCAACCACTCTATGTCGTTTTAAGTATACCAAAAGGTCTTGTTTCCTTTGCACTTCCAAGAACAATTTGATTTCAGATTTCAATTCAAAAACACGATTCACAACACTTCGTTTGACAGCCAGCGTACTGTAGTGTAGAAAAGCAGAACCTCGTG